CTCTCATTGCTGCGATTTATTCACGAATCGCACCATTTTATGCTCTAAATCGCATAGAGACAGCTTCACTAAAACACAGTTCAACAAACGATCAAATTTCAAGACTTGTGTAAAAAAAACAAGCAAATTTCGGGAAAATGAAGGACAAATTTTAGCAACTCTTAATAAATCAGCCCGATACTGGATCAATAACATATTTTAAATAACATGCAGACTACAAAAACCTGCATTTGAACAGCTGAATATTGCGATTTCAAATTAGATGTAGTAAAGTGGTAATTGACGGGTATTGTTACAACCGTGGATCAGCAGACCGCGGAACCTCCAGAACCATCCAAACGTACGGAACCATCAAATTTAATGTAAAATAATAATAATAATGAAATAAATAAAAATTTGAAATACATAAACACTGTACGAAATTTCGGTTTAAGGTATAAAGAAGATGAAGTTAACTGAGAAACATGTTTTTTTTTTTTTTTTTTTTCCATCTACTTTGACGTCCAACCACAAAAAGCGCAACTGCCCAAGCTCACACAGTGAGCCTCTATGAATATGCAAATGTATTTTCGTTGCGCAGTGGATGTAATGTAAGGATTTGTATGGAAATGAACAGTCCCGCTCTTAACCTTAAACAGATCTGAACTAGTTTTAAATAGGAAGAATTTCACCCCGAAATTCTACATGCGTCACAGGCGATGATGTTTCTTTACCCTCGTGTTCTTCTTTCTAGGGTTATGGAAGGCCGCCGATTGCAGCTTATAGGTTTTCTGAGAGCCTTCGGATGAGGCGTTACTGGGATGTTGCGGTACTCAAACCATTTAGAGCTTTCAAATTATGGTTCAATTACTAGTACTCGTGGTAGATGACTGCTGATTCCTTCTTATGGCGTTACATACCATTGTACAGTGAATGTCGCCACAATTAAAGTTAGACATGAAGACAATTAAAACATAAATCTCTTTTAAAGTAATCTTCTTTGTACCAGAAAATAAACGTTCAAACAGTGTTAAAATCTTTTTAGTTTTTGTTTTATGTCATTACTTTTCGTTTACAAAAATATATAGGGTTCCGCAGGCTCCGGAGTTTCTAGAGGTTCCACGGTCTGCTGATCTGAAGTTTAGTAACACCCGTAATTGACCCTAATTGCACTCCAGTCAGTTAATTACCATTATTTACCTACAGTACACAACCAATTAGCACTACTTACTTTCAAATAAACAACCGTAGTAGTCATTACCATTATCATTCGGTTATTATGCCATTTTACCATATTTTGGCAACAAAATGCAGTGTATATATGACGGTATTCACTATAGAGGGCGAAAATACTGACAGAAAGTGCAGTAACAAAGTGGCTGCACTAAACTATCCAAACAGTGATCGTAGTCAACCTTTTTGATGCTTTATTTTTTAAGCGACGAGCTTTTTCAGTGAAAAAAAAGCTGTTTTTGTGTGTCTTAAGGACACCTGCATGGTTTCTGTTTTGTCGCTTTCATCCATCACACTCACCCTATGCGATCGATACGATTCTCAGCAAACACTGTAAGATCGATGTGTTTCGAAAACGAATAAATAAGTAAAAAAAAGAAAAATAAATACCTCTTTGACTAGTAAAGTTTTTCATTACTCTCAATTTCCTTGCACGGGGCCAGAAATTTACCACGCAACTTCTAATAAGGTGAATATACCATTGAAACGTTACAAAAATTCCTACTCATAATCCTGCTTGTGTTTTGAATTATATTATACACTTTAATCAACGCTAATTTTTTTGTACAACTCATTGCTAATTTAAGTACGTACTATGTACAATCCACAAATCAGTAACACCATTTGTTTTCGCTCCAGATATTGCTTTTTTCAAAATATATTTTTTCACCTTCCATTTATTAGTAAGGAGAGGTTATTGTCCCCTTATTTTCTCATGTTAGTATTTACTGACAGTTTCAACTGGTGGTAGATATGTAAAGTGTTTGTTTATCACTTCCAACATACCTCTTCCATAATTAGTTTGCAACCTGTTCTCTGGCTTAAACATTTCCGCGTCGCTATGGAATATTTCCTTTTCTTTGCGAATTTTTGTTCCAGTGGTGTTGCTTCCACTCGCTGATATTGACAAACAGTCCATTCTTGGCACAAAATACTGTTCGTGGCGTGTGGGACTAATTCTCAAATGGTCTCCACTTGCTTCGTTTGCTGAACTGCTTTGGCCATCTGTCGTTCGCCTTATTGCCTCTTGGCGGACCTTACTTTGAGGTGTGTTGGAGGCACTGCTGTCACTGTCACCTTCAGCGCAGACACGTACTTTGCAATGTGATATTCCCATTTTTTTCCTACTTATTTTTAGACTCTGGCGGAAGATAATGAAAATTCTTTAGACTGTGTAGAAATATGAAATGTTTTTTTTTTTCGTGCGGTATTTCAGTAAAAAAAGTTACATAACAAATCAGGAGGTAATTACGCCAGTAATTACTTTTTAAGATGGAATGCTTCAATAATGTGTACCATGATTATAAAATCTAAATATACACCCGTGTATTCATTTCTCGAGGAACTCGTTGATGTTCAAAAGAACACGAGGATTGAAATTGGTAGCCAATTGCATCTTTTAAGGCCTAAACATGACCTACAGCCAGCATCCTCCAGCGTTTTCGTATGACGTGCTCAGAAAATGCCTGCAAAAGTAAAACGGAAAACTATAATTGTCGTCGATTGTGTCGAGGGTTAAAATGGTGTTAATCATTATTCATTTTTTATTATATTATTTTTCCTCTATGATTAGCGTCACGCAAGCTTGGGCAGAAAGGTTGTAATTAGAATAATTGGATTTTGTAAGATGGAAAATGTCTGAAGGACGATGGAATATTTCCTCTGTGGCAGAGTTTTGCTTTATAAATATAGCATCGCACAAGAATATCATATCTGAACAGATCGAAGCTATTGCATAAAGAGCATGGACGTGTGTTGAAATTTTATTAAACATTGGAAATTCTTTTTCATGCTTGTAGAACTGGGTGGAAAAAAATTAGAAGGAAATACCCTGACTGATTTTTAAATAGGTTGTTTGTGCCATACTGCAGTAACTCAAGCAAGACCGGACCAGAACAGTTTAACATTAGCCTGAGTGAGTACATTCATCGAAATAATTAAAGAAAGAGCGAGGAAAAACTCTCTTGTGATTGAAGAGGAATCTTTGCATGAAGTTTTTTTAAATCAGTATTATTTTGTCTCTTAATGCCCTTACACTGTTAAGATTTTCGCTGTCGGGGCACATATAAATTGTCCTTACAGCGAAACGATCGGGCAATACAGTTTAAGTTCGCGGGCATAAATATTGTTTAGAGCCCGGTTAAAATACATTTTTTGCCGACCAAAATTCGTATTTTAGCCCACAAAATGGGCCCAAATGCCCGAAAAAGTGAAAAAATATTTATTTAGTTGTGCCTTTCTATAGCTGCCTGAAAAAAGGAAATCGATAAATCTGCTTAACGATTTTAAAACAATTACGAAGGTGTTACTATTTCTGTAGGATTATGCTATAATTAGCGTAAGACCAGGTAAAACCAGGTAAGATCAGGTGATCAGAGTAAAGATTTGACCAGGTACACTGCCCGAAAGGAGAGAGAGGAAAATTAATTGTTGATTGAGCTTTGCTGCAATGTATAAATTTGTATCAGGGTATTACCAAATATATTTTTATGTATCACTATTCTTCATAGGGTACCGTTACCAATTCTTGTGCCAGACTGAGCAAGCAAGTTGTAATAAGCGTACAAGAGTAAGCGGAAAACAACCTTAAGATCTCTGAAATTTTTTTGAATTTTTTTTTGTGAAAATGTTTTCCTATGAGTTCTGAAGTTATCTCCAAGATGTTTAATTGAGCTTCAGTATAGAGATGCACTTAACAGAGTGCTCAAAGGTGCGGCCATTTTCATCGTTATGGCGGGTAATAAAATATTTTCGCAACTTATTAATGTTGATGTTCTGTCGATTTGTTCTGCCTTTTTCTCCTTGGCTGTCCGAGTAGGAAGCTTTCAGGTGTTCCGTGACCCTCCGCATGCGAGCTCTGGCGACTAGACTTTCATTTCTGCCGACCTTTTTCAAGAGATTAGGTCGCCTATTATCGACATTGCAAATAGCTGAGCATGAAATCCTAACTGAATGGTGTTGTTACAGTGGAATATAAGTTACAATGAAACTCTACCTACAAACAAACCATTCAATTTTTTGTGCTCGTCGGTAAAAAAAAGGGAATCCCATGCTTCTTATCGATTGCGTAAGCTTCAATTGGGCATTATTTTAGGTTCGGTGCTGCTCTAAAAATAGTGAACCCTATTCGTATTTATAGCGCTTTTGGATTGTTTGTCGTCAAAAAAACAAAACCAAAGTAAGCATGTATCAATGAGGGTATTTAAAGAGTACCTCACAAACTGCTTTAACCAGCGGAGTGACCAAGTCGCGACTGGTTTTAGTTTTGAAACTGGCTAGCGAAATAGATGTGCCAAGCAGAACATGTGTCGGCTCCGTTTTGAGATTAGGCTATAAAAAAACAAAAAACAAAAAAAGAGAAAAAGCGAGGAGCCTCCGCTCCAGTGTAAGTCTGGGTTCTAATCTCATAATCTCATATCCAGGCCTCTCACATCCAGGTATATTTGATATTCAAGATGGCGGCCAAAACACCTCTGCGAATATGTCGATTATTTTTCTTAAAAGTTTGGATGTGGCTTCTATCACACTGGTGAGTTTGTAGGTGTAAAGTTCGCTAATTATGCAGTGATACAAAACTTGACAAAAGTGAGATCTAAAAACAGACAAGATTTGTCTTTAAACTGGACGATGCCGGTTCAAAAAATTAAATTAATAAAATTTTGAGGCCGCTAACTAAAATTATCTTAGAAAAAAAAAGAAAAACGAAAATAAAAAAAAGCTGGAAGAATATTTAAAACTTTCTAGAAAGTGATGATAAAAGAGAAGTCCAGAATTTTGTAAACTGTTAATGTGGTGTCTATTTTTTTTTCAGTTGCTTTGTGGGACCCCAACAAGTTCCCCTTCCAGACACTTTCATTAATCCATCATTTCAAGTTGCTCATTATCTATGGTGAGTTGGAAATGGCTTAAATGTTTTAGCACCATTTTTTCATACATCCATGCTTTAATGTGGTATGTGTTGTGTTATTGAGGAAGTCTTTCATTTATATCAATTCCAATCTTGTGTTTTGAATTCTCAATTATCATCAATTATCAATGTCAGCAACCCGGCCAACTCTAAGTAATATGGAAGAAAAAACACTTAATTACATTTGCAAAAAAATCAATCTTTTTAAGCCAATGGGAGCTTATTCTCAGTGTTTGCTCTGAAAAATTTTCTAGAATATCAAGTTAATGTGCTTTACCAAGTTAGTCTGCTTTACTCTGGCTCGAAAGGTACGAGACCAGGTTGGGTCATTAAGTGGTGTTCCTGTGCAGAACACTTTACTTTCACAATGCACCTCTCCACCCAGGAGTATAAATAGGTACATGCAAATTGTTATGCAACCCTGAATGGAATGCTGGGGGGTACTGGTGTAATTGACTAGCATCCTATTCCCACAGGAGTAGTTGTTCTCCTTGTCATGTCCTGCAAAGGAAACCAGCTGACCCCAGCTTAAGATTCAGTGCTATTTTGTCCAACATGGTTAAAAGTAAACTTATTTCTTTTCAGGGTAATTAAGTATTATCAACTGAGTTGATAATGTAAATTGGCCACTGTAAAGAGTTTAAAAACTTTGAAACCCTTTATGGTGGCCAATTTATGTTATCACTACTCATTTAATAATACTAAATTACCCTCTCCCACCAATGCAGCACCACAGTTTCTTTAGAAACTTACCCCATTATTTCTTTTCAGGCAAGGAAAAACAACCCAAGTAATTAAAGAACTTGACAAAGTACACAAGCCATCATACATTTTGGCAACACCACAACACACTTTGTATATATCAAGGTATAAACCTTATTCTGACTCACTGGTGAAGGGCTACTGTTTCACCAGAGGTGATCTTTGAAAATCAAGATGTCTTAACTATTTTTGCATTTTATATACATCCAGTCTTGACATAGACACATGAGATATAATACTTACCCAGTTATCATTTCTAGAATGGCTCCTTCTCATTCAGGGTAGCTGAAATTAAGGCTGAAAATTGTTCATTGGCAACTGACTCTTAGTTCACTGACAGAAAAAGTTAATGACATGTTAAGGTAGACAATTAATGTAATTACTTTATTCTTCTAATGTCGTCTTGTCATTTTTTTACCTTCATTGCCTGAATTCAACATCAGCTTTTTACTTGACCAGGTAAATAACTATTGATCTCTCCTCTTCATTATCACACCTCAGAAAATGTAATTTATTTTAGACTGTAGCTTTAGTATTTTTTTAACTGTGTCACCCAGCTTTTTCCTGTTGCAAATTTCCTGTTGCAAATTTAAAAACTTCCACTCAGGCTGTTTAACCTTTTGACCATTAAATGTGATTAACATCTAGTTTCCCCTTTCCCTACTAACCCTGAATCAAACATTGAGGTCATGAGAATAAAGGAAATGATCACCAACTAAAGAAGCTCTTTATTGTTGCACCAATTCCCCTTGAAATGTGTAAAGAGCAGTATCAAGAATAAGCATACTGATGTTAGGGTAGAAAGGGTTAAAAATTGAAACAGGATGGCCTTATACTCTAAATTGAGAGGTACAGCTTCACTCCTGGCTGGATCATTGTATTTATTCACAGGCAGCTGACACTTAACCCTTTGATCCCAAAGAGAAACTAATATCTAAATTCTCCAAACAATATATCACCCCTGAATGAAACATGAAGGTCAGGAGAATGTAGGAAATGATCACCAATTTAAGAAGCTCTTGATTATTTGACATGTCCTCCCTAAGTAATGTATAGAGAACAGTATGGAGAATATACATACTGATGTTAGGGAGTAAAGGATTAACTCTCACAATGCCTCTCTCCACCCATGAGTATAAAATTAACATATGTGTACCAGTAACCTGTTTGGGGACTTGACAAGTTGCAAGGCATTTAAGGTGGGATCGTAAGACTTGTATCCTGTGATGGTCTCTAGTCAAAGTGGAGGACAAGTCATTTCTTGCTAATAAGGTAGCTTTAACATAGTTATGGTTGACTTTTTTGTCTTTTTTTTTTGGTATGTTAAATGACAGGTTTTGTATGTGGTAGACACTAGACAGATAGGAAGCCCTGCTGTCACTTTTACTCAAGGCCATGGGCTTGATGGTCCATGGGGAATGGTTGCTGGTAAGAAGCGGGTCAAAGTTTTTATTACAAGAATTATTGATGAAACAGTTTGAATGAACCTCAAGGAGCTGTTGAACTGTCCATAATTTTACTCTACATTTCAGATATGAAATGATATGACATTAGTCATACAGAGGTTTAGGTATGCACCTAAAAATTCACACACTCACTCACACACACCATTCTGATCTGTTACACAACTAATTCATGCATCAATCATGGATCAAATTCATTATTTTAATCATTAGGGATGGTTTACAGTATGATTCTTATAAACACATAGGTCAGGGCAAGCTGGTGTTTACAGTTGCTGATTGTTTTTTTACTTATTTCTCTTTTCAGATGATGAGTACTTGTATGTTGCAAGTTTCACAACAGATCAAATACACAAGTATGATTTAACTACAAGAAGGTAATTGACTATAAACAACATGAGCAATAAGAGAAGAAATGTGACCCAGCATGAAAACATCTACTGTAGGAATTAGGTTGATGCTTACATGTACCTCATTACAACAAACAAAAAGGAATCTGATAACTCCTCCTGTGTGCACATCTTCTTTTTTCCCCATAATTGTCCAAGTTATCATTTTATTACAATGTACATTATGTTTTCTTCACATGGTGTAGATATGGCTGAAACATGGTGGGCCATAACACATGACTGAGCATGCTCAATTTTTGTTTGTATTCTTTATGTTTTCTGTTTTCTCAGTGCATATCACATGGTGTAGATATGGAACATGCTGGGCCATAATACATGACTGAGCATGCTCAAGTTTTGTATGTATTCGCTATGCATGCTGTTTCTCAGCCAGGGCATAAGCTTTCCTATGTCACACCAACTGCTCTACCATCTACACTTTACCCACGAGCTCAATAACCTTTTCCCTTCACATGGTTTAATGTAAGACTTCAATTAGAAAAGACAAATTGAATACTCTGCTGACATGCCCTGAACTTTTGTGACTTTTGTAGGTTTGTAGGTGCCTTTGGTAATGAGAGTTACCTTGACTGTCCAGAGGGGATGGCCATAGGTCCCAACAACACTATTTATGTTGCAAGCTTTCTTAATGATAAAGTTGTTAAATTCTCTATACCTGATGGAAAATTCTTGGGTGTGGTAAGTCATTTTTTTTGTATGTTAAAATGAACAGGTTTAAAGTGCTTTTTCCTTTCAGTGGTAAATAAGAATTAAAAAGGTGGCTATATTTTTTATTCTTTGTAGGTAGCTGATAAAAGTCATGGTCTTAAGGGGTAAGAATGACAATATCCATGTTAACAATGCTTAGAGTACTTTAAGTTCATTTACAGAACCAAGGCTTGTTTAATTTCCTTTTTTCTGTCACCACTGACTGAAAAATCACAGCCTTAACTAGTTGTACAACTGTTAGGGTGAAAAAAAAAAAGAGAAGCTCTTGACTGTGTATAGTTATCATTATCTTAGTTTTGATCTGAGTGGAAAACCATAAGAAGTTTGTTTGGTAATGTGTGGCTAAATTTCATCCCAAGCTTCTCAACAGCATCCTTTCATGGATTGTGAAGTATAGTTCCTTGATAAGTTATTTGTGCGTGGCTGTTTCCAGGATCATGCACACTTGTAAGACACTAACTCTTGTGTTAGCTGACAACAAGGTATTTGACAGCTATGTTTGATTTCCAGGCCTGAAGATGTTGCATTCTTAAAGGATGGCACTCTCCTCATCTGCAGTCATTACACCGACAATGTGTTAAAACTCAATTCTTCCACAGGTGACCTCAGTTTCGTGTTAATCAGCCTCTACTGATGTGATGTTTTTAGCAGTTGTAGAAGAATATTGATAGTTGCTTTCTACTGTACTGCAGGTGAACAGCTTGGTGTGTTTGCCACAGTGGAAAAACCAGTTGGTTTGACTGTTGGATCTGAAGAGTAAGACCTCCCCATACCCCTACCACTCTTTTGTTTTTTCATCTCTCCTCATTTCCAGCACTCCCTTCATCTTTCTTCCATTCTCTCAAATAGTGTACTTTCTCATCCCATTTCTTCACATGCGCTCCTCTTTTCTAGTCTTTTTGGAATCGAATTTGGCCGGATGTGGTAATTCACCACTCCTCTAGGTTAGATGTTGAAGTTCCTTTATTGAATGGACGATTCTTTAGGGAAACGATGATTAACTCCATTATTTTCCGTTGTCTTTTGAAACTGCAGCAATGTCTACGTGACGAGCTATGTTTCAAACAGCATCCTTCGATTTGATGGACAAACAGGTACTAACTATCTTGTGTTGTAATCCTTGAGGCTCACAGATTTCCTCGAACTCCGCTCTCGGAAAACTGTTCTCATCTTGGAACAGAAAATGTCCGCGGACGGGTGCATATTTTCGCGCCAAATGGAAGCTATTATCTATCTATAGAGAGCATCAATTTTTATGGTCTGGAGCAGCAGATTGTTTTTAAGACCGTGAATTATTCAATAAAATTATATATTTGGAGGGCAGGGCTATATGCATAGGTGGCGTAGCAGGGGAGCCGTATAGCTCCCCCAGATAAAAAATTTGGGTGCCTTACTTCCCCCCCCCCTCCTCTCCACGTTTTGGTGCCGAAAATATCGCTAAAAATTGGCAAAACACTCAGTCTCGTGATCTTTTCACAAATCTTTTTATCAGCATCATGCATGGCGAAGTAATACATTATAAAACCTTTTTTGAACAGCTGCGACCTGTGTTCGAGAAGCTTATCAACTGCAGCAATTGTCCATGAAACTAGATAGCGTGTCGAGGAAATTAGGCATGATTCAATTTTATCTGTGGGGATGCGATCGAATGCTAAGCTGAAAGATTTTAAAACTCAACCTCCAACAGCCGTCTTCCAATCCCCTCACCAATTCGAAAACTTCACAGAAAGAATTGAGGTGATTATACACTAAACAGCTTCATTTCCTGTTTACCTTAGGTAATTTTATTGACGTTTATGCGGCTGGTGGCGGCTTGGAAGGACCGTCCAGTGTCAGGTAACTAATTATACCTTGAGTGTATACTTAATATGTGTTGGTCACCGAGTTACAATGACCTTAAGAGAGGTTGTGGACTTCTGAAGTAATCCTCTGATCAGCAACGAGTTCAATTCATTTTTACGTGGACGACTGACCGCATTGTTTTTCCTCAACTGAATGCCTGTTATTTTGTTCTGTTTTTTCTTTCGACCATTGTCGTAATCATCATCCCTCTGTCACTTTGTTACAAATTGTTTTTGATTATATCATTATCACTTTTATTAGTTTGTTGGTGGTTATTTCATTGTTATTTCTTTTCATATCTTTTCCTTCTGTCACTTCTATTGTTACCGACGTTATAACCAAAGCTCTTGTTCTTCTATAACTGAACTATTCTTGACGTTAATTCACTTTAACTATTCAAGTTCTTCTCGTTCTGCTGGTTTGGTTTCTTTTCTTAAAAGTAATTTATCCTACCTCACGTTCCGCTTACAAAATAACCTTGGTAAAAAGTATGGCACACACCCCGTTTTACTTTCATACTTCACTCACCGTTGCCCTTCCGTTGAATCGAATTGTTTCGTTTTGAACAGTTTTGCAGATCTTCGTACACTGTATGCAGCCAGTTATGACAGCGATAGGGTGGTGTTATATAACAGTACTACGGGACTTACTTATACATTGCCTGGTAAACGCAACGAGCATCCGGGAGACGGTATGTCTTTCATGTGTTTCATTTTACTTTTATCTCCGGGTATTTCATTTTTGTTGTTTTTACGGACGTAGATGCGACCTTTTACTTACAGGGACAAAATCATTGCACTAGTTATGCTTGTGGTTGGATTTCAAAGCTTAAACCTTTTTAATCAAAATCGTTCTTATTCCATACCAAGATTTAATTTTCTGCAAACTTGAAAAAACGCAGTACATGCGGTTCAGAGCCACCTTAAATTCTTATCATAATTACAACTTTTTTATTAGAAATAATAGGCCTTTTCAAAAAAACGAAAGATGAAGTGTGGAAGTCACAATCCGTAAAAACTCTACCCCTTACATCAGTTTGCATACTCCTAATCTCCAGAATGATCGTTATTCATTTCCCGTGGATTCAGCCGTGATATTGTAAGGAGAAATAAGATACTAATCACCCGGCTCCTAGGGGTTGATGGATTGAGGGATTGGAATTAACAATGTCCCTAATTTATTTTCAGGTTCTTTTAGGAATGCAACACTCGACAGATAACGTCGAGTCAGAGTCAACCATTGTCATCTACCAGAAGCTACTAATGTAACGCTTCTGTTAACAAGGAAATTGGAATTTAATGTTTTCTGACAAGTCATTAGCTGGGATGCAAACAACCTACTAAGAGTAGAATTGTTTTCCTTCGAGTGTATTTTTAATCTTTAGAAATCGTTCTATATCCCAACTATAGTTTTAGAAAATGGTACCTTATTGTATTTATTAATAGGGAGAAAAGTTTTAGATGGTATTGCACGGGAAAGCTGTAAAAAAGCGATCATTACTGAAGTTAGGTCCTTGCCCAACTTTCTGAAGCGTTTGCGTTAGCTGGGTGTTATCCCGTTCACATCTTAACATCAGTATCCATATTCTCCATACCATTCTCTATACCTTTCCTTTGGTGCTAACAAGGGGAATTCGTTCAACAATCAAAGCTTGTTAGGTTGGAGATCATTTCTTGTATTCTCATTAACTTAATGAATCAATCAGTAGTATTACTGTAAGGAGAAATTAAAGGCTGATCGCTCTTAGGGTTTCAGGGGCTAATGCCGACCACAACTAGTTTTGTCTCTGTGCTTTCAAAACTGGGCCTCTATTCCTTGCTGCCGCACAATCGCTGCAAAGTTTTTCCACCAATTGAGCAGTCTGAATTCAAGGTGTCACTTGATTTGGATGCGAAACATTATTTTAAGCATACTTCACACACATTTTGAGAATGTCCTTTTTATTTATTATTTTAATTCGAAAATAAATAAGTCTTAGGTACTCCATCATGACTTAGAGAGGTGCTTTATTTAATCGCAGTTTTGAACTGCTCCATAAAATATTCCCCGAGCTCCCATTACTTTTCTTCAAATTACCCACGGTCGATTTCAGGCCGGTTTAGAGTGCTTACTTTCTTCTAGATTTTTGATGCGGGGAAAGGAATGTGCACATAAAAGGACACAAGTAGAGCAATTTTCAATTGAATTTCGAACGTAATCCAAGGTTGCATTGGTTTTGATTTATTCTGTTTTTGTGATTGGTCCAAAAACACTCGCGCCACTCTCAACCAATCGAATATCACGTTTTCATCACCCACGTTTTCGCGCGCTTTGGACGGTTTGCTTACTTTCCCCTTGAGTTCTCATTGGCTCTTAAGGGTATTTACCTGCCTTCTGATTGGTCTTCGTGATAACTTTGGTTTTTTTTTTTTTTCACGAAACTCAATCGAAAGGTGCTCTAAAAATGGAATCACGTGCTTTGGTACCTTGAGGTTCACAGTACGAGGATTTTTTAGCGTTATTTTCGATTGCAAGTGGGAGCTGACTGTCGATTATTCGGTCTTTGGCACTCTTCTGCGATTGTAAGCCGATTGTAAGAAGCTAGCGGCTAAATGAAGGAATCAACGAGTAAACAAATAAACTAACAACCTCCCTGTCACTTGGTTGTTGTGCTTTCTCTGTGAGTTTTGGAGGTTTATTATAGTTTTAGAGGTTGCGATAGCATAGAAGTAAGACTTCTTACGGATTTACGCGACAACCATTTTCAGAGAATTTTAGAAAATTTACGCCACCGAGAGAACAGAATGATTTCGGCCCTAGCTTTCGTTTGACTTAAAGAGTGGCAAAAAGCCATGCTAGTTAATAATATAAAGGTTCTTGACCACGTGTGACGCTAAGATGGCTGCATCATGGATGACTTAGTTCGTGGTCGATGCCCAGCCCTCTTGGCTGAAAAGCTGGTCAATGAAGGATTTAGTTCACGGCTAAAAGATATGACCTTATCAGTATTCTTAGTTTTGAATTCTTTACGAAATGTTACGCGATTCCATTGCGGTAAAAACTGCCAAAAAGGGAAAAAGTTTTAGTATGGTCACGTGAACACAAGGCTTACTTTGCAGTGGGTCTAGGGCGGCGAATCACGTAATATAAGTTAAGAATGTTCATTTTTAACACTTAATCGATTGCCCTTAATTCCGTCATTGCCACTGTTTCCACTGTTACCACTGTTTCCACCTCCAAGAGCTATTTCTGCTCTTCCGTCCCCCAGAACGAACGCTGAGTTGTTCAAATGTTCGCAATCCAAAGCGTGTGAAGTTCATAGTGAAAAAAGTAAGTAATCTGCGAAAGTGATCTACATAATTCTTGTAGCTGAAAAACAAACAAAAGAGAGGCTTCGATAGATCTTGCACTCACACTTCAGAATGAGATCATTACAAAACAAGCATGCAAGAGGCCAAGGGTACCACGGCCTATAACGGAAATTAACTACATTCCATTTGAGAAAAACAAAACAACTATCATGATACTGAGATTATCAAAGTCACATAGCTTGGAAATGAATCCTCACACATTTCTAACACGCCTCATCACGATTCTCTCTTCAAAAGAACGCGCCATTCTCAAGGGGGGAGGGGTGAGAAGCAACCATTCATTTTTCATGAAGGCCACATCATTTTTTTTTTACCTCTAGTATGATGGGCCCTTCGTTAAGGGTCGTCTGAATGTCCTTGTTCCACAAGTTCCTTAGGATCGGACTGAATTTCACCACCGACTTGAGCCTCTACAAGTGCTGGAACATCCAGGTTATTTTGAGTTACTTGTTTATACGTATGTGCGGCAGCTACGAAGAAAAATAAGAGTTGTCTTGTTAGATGATAAATAAAACCAAAATTAACAGGCGCAGTGACCCACGATATTCTTTCAGTTATAAATCTTGAGTGAGTCGCATCACAGGTTGCCTTTTCAAAAACAAAATCGCTTTAATTTCGTCAATTGCCGCTCATGCTCATTCTCTCTATCCATGGCCATCTATGTCCCACGCTATTCTTTGTGTTACTAATATAAACATTGTAGTCATTATCATCGTACACCTTTTCGAAAGTTCTCCAACCCAAGCATCATCATTAGTATAGCTTTGTCAATGCCGGGACCTATCTCATTCAGTTTATAGATAAATTCCTTTATCTCCTGCGGTCTTAGTTTTATTTTTTCTCCTCTTTACGAGCATTATTTCAGTGTTGCGGGAGAGTTTTGGGATTGAAGAAAACTGAAAATGGCTTTCGAAAGGGTTATTTTGCACTGAATTGGCGAATAGTTTATTTCTGAATCTGACTTGTATATTAATTCGGTTATACAGCGAGCTTTTCTAACTGAATATCGTCTTGCTTGTAACGTTTTCTGGTGCTACAAACCTTAGAAGCATAACACAAACAGAATTTAATCATGTTTTTCTGACTGATTGTTAAGGGATATCGATGTAAACGATAATGTCTGGAAAAAAAAACGGAAAAAAACTTAGATGTGCCTTCCTCGTACCTCGTCAATGGTATGGTAATAAATCACACTCAGCACGCTACAACCTCGTCGATCGAGCACGATTGAGGTCGACAGGTGAATATTGTAATCACCATAAGTGCTTAAGAAAAACATGATAACAAAAGCACGCGAAAAAATTATACAAGGAAAAATTATGGCAGAGAAAATTTCCCTCCTCCTACACAAAACACTATTGTTACGTTTAGAGCGAGATTATAGATTATGCAACATATATTTCATGAAGCTAACATCTCCTCTCTGAGAGTGAAGCATGGTGGTATCTGCCAAAAACTGAAAGTCTTGTTGTAGCTGTATGGGATCATAAGACGAAAAAGGTCAACTTTTCTCAGGGGGATCGTTTCATACGAGGAAGCATAATTCACACCAGGTTATGACCTGCTCTCTTCTTACAGCAATCAGTTAAATATATTTATAGAGCGAAGAATGCATCAAAAGGTCATAAAACGGACGTCACCTCGCAAATCGATATCTTTTAACACGCAATGTGGAGGCGTGTCGTTAATATTCTCTTGTGGAAGATAATTTTTGGCTTGTAATGCACATCACGCGAAACATTTTTAACTTTGGGAATTCTCGCACGTCCTAAAACTAGAGATTGGAACTATAAGATTGGGGCGTAATCCTCATTCTGAATGTGACATAACTATATTTGTACAGGATATCGCCAATGGCCGGAAAATTAAAGATGAAAATATATACAGACGTTGGCGTGGGATACGAGAGATCACATTAAACTGTCAGGGGTTGAATTTTATAGCAGTTTGTGCAAAGTGCTTTTGTTGTCGCAGAGTGCAAAATAAATCAACAGCAAGAGCATAAAAATTAAAGTCTGAAATCTCCTCACTCCCGTTTTATAATGAAAGCCTACTGAACTTGATGCGATCATAAGGACTATTTTCTGGGAGAAATTTCATCTTCCAACTAAACAGAAACATCCTGACTAATAAATTCACAATCATTCATCGATTGCCTATTATAACGTCATATTTTTCACCCTCAGTCATCCCTGAATGAATTTCCTTCTTTAACTTTGTTCCGTGGTAAGATTTTTACCCACGCATTGAGCCAAATGCCAGGGTAACAGGAAATTGTAACAACTAGATATTCCGGTTGGTACTTCCCGCTTTTCATCTAAGAGCAATTAAAATCTTCTCCACCTTTTTCGTTGCCGGTTTTCACACTTTCTCTCCTTCCTTGGCTTCGTAATCTCATTTGATCGTTTGCTGTTTGTTCCGGCTTTTTTTATTTTAACAGTATAAAGACTTCCATGGTTCGATTATTGTATTGGGAAGTTAGAAAATATTATGTAAAGCATGAAAATTAATTCTTTATTCAGAGTTACCCTCCAACATAGAACCCAATCCCTTCTATAACAACAACAAAAGGCACAACTATCTTAAACTTAAAAAATTTCAAAGTTTACAATCAAGATTAATCCAAACTTACAAGATTTTCTTCTTGAAGTTCGCATAGATGATGAACGAGCAGATGAAGATGATCGACTGAATGAGCGCCTTGATATAGAGCTGATTCGAGTGATAGCTGAGCGGAACATGCCTTCCTCTGAGGGCTTTAAACAGGAGAACACCTTGCCCAGCGACGAAGCATAGCCATCGCGGTATTTCCTCATGGTCCACAAGCAGACACAGTGATTTATTAAAGGATCCAGTGTGGTCAGGACGAGAACCACTTGATCAAAATAGATGTTATGCCAGTTGTAAGCGTACAAAATTATAATACGCATCTGGAAAGCAACGATCAATAGTGAATGACGTGATATCTCTGGAACTTATTCACAGTTCCTTCCATGAAAATCTGAAAGTAAGACCCATTGGAAGCAATGAACCCCAAAATTAACTTAGCGGAGTAAAATTCATGGTATGCACCATATTCCGAAAAAGTAACCCAAAATAAATCATAATCCTCATTTTTTTTTTTTTTTAATTTTTTAAGGCGACAAATAACATATATTCTATAGAACCTTCTTTCTTTTATAAACACCAATGTCTTCCCTGGTAGATAAGACATAACAGAAAACGTGAAAAATAAAGAAAAAATAAATGGATAAAAAGAAATAAGAAGTTAACAACAATATTATCACTGATGGTGACAGCGTTTTTCTTATTTTTTACAATGTCATCAGTTTGAAATGACCGATGGAAGGTGCTCGTTTTGGCATGAAGAAACATTGCATGCCACCCGCTAAAAGTGGCAAAGGGAAATCAATACTAATTCCTTAAATCTGTTCTCCTTAGGAATTAAACAAAAATATACACCAGGGAAACACTGATAAGAAGGTACATGGTCCTTGTCTTTATGATATAGCATACATCCTGGCGTCAAAGAGAGTGTTGATCTGGAGTGACTTCAGAACAACGGGAAACGTAATCTTAAGATGGGAAAGTGATAGAAAGTGGCTTCTTTTCACATCGTAAGTCTGACAAGATTGACGAGGAATAGTCAAAGGCTAAACTTTTACGAGGGCATTTCAAAGCCTTGCGCATTTGTAGGTTTTTACAGCGCCAACTACATCGGCGTTACTCCATGTAGCTTTAAACCCCAAACATAAGTAATCCAAAGGGATGTATTTAGCTTGAAGAGGGAGAAATAAGCTCCTGCAGGGCCTCTGTAATGAAAAGCGCGAGGCTGCATTTTCAGTTGCCCTTGAATACCCACCCTTAGTGTTTTTGAAGGTTTGTGATTTTAAATCAAACATTTTTAGACAAAACTCGTGTGAAAAGACTTTGGAAAGGAAGCTTTGACTGTGAGCAGTTCCTTCTTCTGTACTGAAAAATCAATTGGATCTAATGGTGGCAATATTGATTTAATCGTGGAAACTAATAACTGAATGTACTGAAGACACCAGCGCGAACTGACAAAGCTGGCATTCGACCTTTGTAGGAAAGATCCACCGGGGACCCATGTTGGTTTCAAGGCAATTACTAAACCTATTTTCCGGATAGTAAGTATTCAGAAGCGTGTTCCGCGACGCAGAGGAAGTCAGTCGTGTTTTATTTCTTTATTTCAGCTGAGCGCTGATAATGAGAAAATTGCCAAGCTTTTTCTGATAGCGAACGGAAAGGCGACAAGATAGAACATCCGAACACCAGACAAAGGGCTGTCGGTTCGACGCCTTTTGGCTATCGCCTTTCCCACGCTCATGGTATACTTCTCTAAAATTTTTCTTTACTCAAAGGGAAGCACTCAGTCACTGAAATAGTTTGGTGAAGGCGCAAATGTGGCAAATTGCTTTTAACCTTTTAACCGTGACTGAGATTAACAACTTTCATTTCACGTCATCGTATTTAAGAGCGACTGATGGCAATCTAATATAACATCCCTCCACTTGATAACATTACCAAAACGAACGCATCGCACTCCTTCGTCACGGAGATTTGACCGACTTGCGTAGAATGCAATTAGACACTAGTTTACTTTACAGAACTACAACTGGTCATTTCATTGTTACTCTTTAACAAAGAGTATGACATTAGGCGGATCTAATTAGGCGGAAACCTAAATCTCTTATGACATTTCCTACGTAGAGTTGCTGTTAAAGTAAAAAAAAAAACATAAATATTTCAAGTAATGAAAGTTCTGAATGTTTTCCCACACCTTTTCCAAGCTTTACTTAATTTATATTGCCGTTAATTAAAATTCTGTCAAGCGCATTTTTCGACTAACAACAACAAACTCTCCTGTAAATTCATGGTATTCTTTCGAATGTAATTTCCCTTTCAGTCAATAAGTGTTTATGGTTGGCAGTCGGCAAAACATAAAAACTCCCCTTTCACTTTTCAAATACCACACCAAGATGTATGGGGCAGATGGCACTTAAAATGAGCATAAAGAGGCTTGAGATTCTTTCCAAAACATATCGTCACATAATTTAAGCCCAAAAAAATGGTAAAAGTATTCGATAGGCCTCGTTTTACCGGCCTTTTCCTATGGACAACAATTATGCAAAGGAGAATTCGGCGGAAATGACTAATAAAAAAGACGAGATCGCGAAAAATTGGGATATTGCCTCGCTAGAGTTACCAAGCACGTTTTCCCCTTGAAAAGGGGAAAATGAAAAACCAATTATATTTTCCATGCTCTTGCAGATATTAAAGAGTAAGCGATGATCACACTTTACATTTACTCCCGCCGCATTCACCAAACTTAAAAACCATCCTGTTATTCCAGACCACAGACAATTAATTTTAATTAATTATTTAAAAAACAACCTATATGGAAAACAAAATCAAAACTTTTGAGTGACTAAGGGAGAGAAAGCTATTCGGCATAGTTTGAATGGTTGAGTGAGGCATGTATCACCCACTGATCCATTATTCAAAGCAGATTGCGGGAACTAAAGCAAAACTATCAAATATTCATTAGCTTTTACGAACGACTTGCAATTACTCGGTGAGTATCACCGCTATATTTTAAAACCTTATTTCACAAAGATTAAAACCGACCTCGGAAACAGGTTTTGAAAAGAATCCTTTTCAACAAAGTACAGAATAAACGCAATGCATTCTTAGAAATTACGAACTGAAAAAGTTGCTTTTTTATTTCAATTCATTCAAAACCTATTTCAATAAAAATTTAGAACAGATGCAAATTCACACCTTTCAAAACATTTTTCAGGCACTAAAAAAATTAAATTATATTAGTGTTTTAGTAATTTTCCATGAATTTTTCGCATTATTAGAAACTTCGTAAATATTTTGCAATGAATAGCGAAATGAGTTGGTACTTTTGTGAATGACTGTCTGTAGGGGATAGCAATTTACAAGACCAAAGTAAGCGGCATCTTAAGGGATTCGACATTAAAATAACATTTGGATAAGGTAAAAAGACTTTGCTATTAAGTTGATTCGGTTCATTACAGGGTAATACTATGGACAAATTGACTCTCTTCATTTGTGGGTTCTTGCTGTCACTGTAGTCTTCATATCAGGTACAACATCGCTCCAAAGAAACAAGCGATGAAAAAAAAACGCAAAGAAAAAAAAGACCTAATCAATTTAATAATTCAACTTTGTCTAACAGATTTCTTCCCTGAGATAACCCCGTCAACGAAATCCTTATTTCGTCTTGATGATAGGAATCTAAGTAATTTGACAAGCCGCACAACAATTCTTCGCTTGTTTTTATTTTATTTTTATTTTATTTTTTTTTTATCTATTTGTATTTTTGCTTTCCTTCTTCTCCTAGCCGTCGTTCTATTTACTTTGTGTTTCACTGTAAGTAATTTAAGTTGAACCTGAATTTCTGCGGGAGGCCTGAGATAAAAACAATTCCGGCATTTCTGTATCAAGAGATCGAAGGACGCCGCTATTCGGAAATTTTAATGATGAAGCTTCCATAGCCCATTACTCAGTTACGCTCGAAGCATTTCAAGACGATTACTTCATTCAAGATAGGCGAGTCCGCGCGGAAATCATTATACACTTTGTTGTTTTATCTCAGTACCTTGCGGATTGGCTTCAAGGAAACAATTTCATTCATTCAAGTTCACTCGCTTTTGTTTAACAGGCTTCTCGATGCTTTGTGAACATCGTGTAATGTATTTTATTTCAGCGCATTTCGCAGACATCTGGTCGCGGAAACCTTTGCGATTGCCTCAAAATAAAAAAAATAAGGAAACAATTTTCACTGATCTCAAAATTCTCGATTTAATTACCACTCACCTCAGAGGTCTACGAAAGAATTAATGAAATAAAACACGAGTAAAAACTAAAACAGACTGGCACGCTCTTGGTTCGATGCGCTTTAAGTTGTTTATAAAACTGCGATAAAAAAAATAAATAAATCGAAAGTTGCGTCTCTTTCGAAAACTACCGCGTACGGCTTGATCTGTAACCTTCGCGACAATTTCAGATGTGTTTTTTAAATGTGCCAACACAATTTTCAGTATTATAGCGCTTTTTGTTTCTTTTCTTGTAAAGATAACCATACTTAAAGAAATACCTCAATTTCTTTAATAGATGCTTGGATGTTCACTCATTTCTCTTCAAACGCTCTAAAATAAGTATAATTCTACATATCATCGCGTAAGCAAGCAGTGAACACAAAGCGATCCAGCGAAATTCAGAGCGAAAATGGCTTATTTTTTCCTGATTCCAGATTTAGATTTCCGGCCACTTGGAGCGAAGCAGCTTGCTTAGAAGCGAGAAAAAAAGACTAAAACAATTTGCGTTTACACCAAGTTAATGAAGCAATTCCTTGGTGAAACAATCTACCGTGGCTTGATCGCGCGGGAAAAAGTTACAATAACATTGACGAGACGGAATCTGTGATAGCATAAGCAAATAAACATCGTTAAGGTCCCCAAAAGACCACAAATTTCAATGATCTGCTTGCCGGAGAGACTCACTGAAATTAAAGTTAAATTCGCCGGCGAGCGGAGATGTGCGCCTAAAAACTGATCATTAAAACATGGGCAGTACTTACCAATATTGTGGTCCAACAAATTGAGTAACACACTGCCATAAGCGTAACCATTTTGGCGAAGCTAACACAGGCGGAGGTACCAGAGCCTTTAACGCGAGTTCCTTTCTCGGTTTTGTTGTCTTGATCATAGACATCCGAAAGTGAATTTCTTTCTAGAACGTGTAGGGTGTATACAACGGTAATGTTAGAAAGAACCATAACTATCACAGACAAGACGTAATGTATGGACATTACATACACAACGATGCCCGTATCCACGTTGTGCGACTCGACGGCGTAACTGCAAACGCCAGTAGACACATTGAGCTCGACTTTATTGAGCGCTAGCGGAAGAATGGCAAGGATAAAGGAGTACACGACCAGGATGGCCAACAGGACTACGCATCTTTGAAATGTGACGCTCTCCTTGTAGTAAAAAGGGAAGACTATCGCACCTAATCGCTCCAAACTCATCATCACTACCAAAGAGATTGTTAGCGTCCCGAAAAACAGAACACCAAACGCGACGAAGTGACAAACGCCATCTTCGCGCGACCACTCGCCATTAAAACGCGACGTTATGAATGGAACATATTGAAAACAGGCGATGCCCAGTCCTGCTAATGACAGCGCGCCAACGAAAAGATGCGGGATTTTCTTCAGCGAGGGCTTGCGAACTTTGACATAGGTATAATGAAGGGCTAGAAAATTTAAGACGAGAGTAAAGGCAAACAAGATCACCACGATGGATCCAACAAGCTGGTCTCTCCATGTTATATTACTGCCGCTCTTTGACATTTTCTTTAGAGAGCACTTATTAAGGAAAACCCTTGTTTATCCGGCTTGATATCACAGCCAGAGACCGGTTCGACAGATCCTATTTTCCCGCTGGTCTTTTACTCATCGAAACTGAAATTTCCCGGCGCCAAGAGTTTCCGTTGTAAATCAAAACTGATCCTCCCCGCCATAACGAACGCGCGCGAAGAGAAGAATGGTAATAACACTTCACGCGACTTCAAGAAGAATTCATTCGTCTTGGCATCTTGTTTGGAATAGCTCACCCGACTGAAGTGTTTGGTGATAGCAGTTTTAAGGTTGTTACCCAGATTCACAGAATTTATTGGTAATGCGCACGCTTCCACTAACATTGACTGACGTGTCTCACTCCCACGCAAAGTCACATTAACATGAGTATTGTTCCATGCGTCAGAATTTCAACAACACTCAATCTTTTAACAACAGAACTCGAGCAATCACAGTAGGTCTGATAATAAATTCAAATAAAAACTGGAGAAATATTGCAGCATTGCCCACCCAGACCGTTTTTTTTTTTTAATCCGATGTTTTGATCGAGAAGACAACATAAGACTTGATTCCATCAGAGAAAAGTTTCAAGATAAAGTAAATTAAAAAAAAAAAACTAAGAATAAAGATTCAAAAATGTTTTTAGATATAAAAGCTAGAACACTTTGGTCGAAAGTCAAAACAGCCTTACAATGGCACGTCATTAGGTGCACCACGATTCCCTTCAGATGTAACCGCAATTCAATTTGGAACACTTTTGCGAAACACAAAAACCATGCATAAAAGGCGAAGAAGAGAAAGGACACCAGAATATTACTTGAACCCCAAAAGGTGTATTGTTTCGTACACGAGCACTACTTGGTCTTGATAAAGCATTATCATGCAAATTTTTTGTTCTCGATTACAAGTTATGTTTGTACTTTCTCAAAGCGACATAAGAGGTGGGATTTTTCCCATCTATGCGACTCTTGCAGCTGCGAAAGAACAGGATTCCTGGGAAATAGCATTTCCCTTTCACTTTTCCCTTGTTTGGTGTCAGAACGGAAAACACTTTGAAATACATACCAGCGTATTTTCAACAACATCACGTATTTATTCACGGTCTTTTTCAAACAACGAAGCGAGATGAAACTGATGACATTTCAGGGAGCCTTTTTTTTTTCTCAGTCGAGGTAAGGCAAACCTTCTGCTTCGTAGGTACAGTGTTAATATGGAGAAATAATGGATTTTTAGAGTGTGAGTGGGCGGCGTAAAAAAATTATGAACTACATAATAACGCGAAATTGCTTAACTTTTTCGATCATCGCAGTATGTACCTTTGCACTATAGTTAAAAATTGCTTTTTAAAACATAAACATCACCGACGTAGAGTGAAGATTATAATTTGACAGAGCGGTAAATTTTTCCCAGACTATTTCTTTTGGTAAACAATTGGCACAAAAACACCTCCGCAAACAGGCACAAATTACTTCCAGAAAAACAGCGCCAGGTGGAGTTTTTGGTTTCTAATTATTTTAGTTGTACGTTTTTTAGCTAATTTTTGAGACATTTTTTTAAATCGAGATTACTTTACAAGGTAAATATCCTGTGGCTAAGATACCCCACTTCAATAGGGAACAAACTTTCTAGCTGTAAATTCAGTTTTAGTCATTAAAGTTTAATGGTGTAGAAATATTCGAGTAAACAGATCGCAATCGGTAGTGCTGATTAAAACTCTGTATCTCTAGACCCAACAGATAACTTTGCTTTGTCCACATCCTCCTCTACTTGCAAATCGACCGCTATTAAACTTCGTTAACTTACTAGAAAAAGCACTGGTCAATTCAGAATCAAAAATAATCTGAAAAATCTATAACGATTGTTAGTTTCTGATGTTGATGGAAACCACAACGAAATATAAATTACTGACAGAAAATACGTTTTATTAAGAGCAATCTGTTTTACTATTTCCTTCGTCTAGGAAACAAAAAATCCAACCTTTTTGGCCTACGAAAATCGAAACAAAAAAAAAAGGAAAAAAATACATGAAGACAATACAACCCTGATTATCACATGGAAACAATAATCTTATTTAAATACTGGATTTTCGTATCTCAGCCTTTGGGCAACGAGAATGATAAATATACCGACAGCTGCTATAACACGCCAAAATACATATACAGCATGTAGAAAAAAATATGAAAATGAGAATAACTCCATTATTCACTTAACTTAATTTTCGCAAAGTTCAGTGTTTTTGATGGGAAACGAAATCTTGCTGAGAAAACGCCATAAGTACACAGGACCGCTCGCTGACCCATGATAAAAGTGATTCACTGCGTGTTAAAACTTGTAAAGTCTGTGGCCTTTTTCCGTAATCATACGGTAGGGCAGGGATTTGAGAAACACGTTTAGGATTTTCTTTTCGGATGTTCGTAAGAGAATATCGCTATGTTAGGCAAATGTCCAACACGGAAACAGTTGGTAAGGCTTAGCAAGACTCCTATCGCCGATACACTGTTTTTGTGACAACAAATATGAAGCAACTCCTGAGATCGACCGATACATTTCAGTTCAACTTGTATTGACGCCTAAAACGATCAATGCAAGCTAATGATATTAACGAGGATAATTTTAGTGTTTACACACTTTTTTTAAGAAAGATTAATATTCACTTCTCGCATTGCTTCATTAAGAGGAATTCAAAATGTAGTCATCTTCAAAGAAACCGACACTACACAACTTCATTCGATTCTGTTGCCAAAAAAAAACATTCCGAGCAAGCCTAGCAACAGAGAGAAAGAAGTCATGCTAAATAGTAGCCTTAAAGTGTCAAATTTCACTTTTCCTAATCCATGACTGATTTAACCATCATACATGGTAGGAAAAGAACAAAAGAGAGGAAAAATAACGTCCAAAAAGCCTTTTCCAAGATCTGCAAAGCTTACCAACCAAAAACATTTTACATCTATTCAAAACGAAGTTATTTCTAAAAGGATTATGAGCATTAATCCCATTTTTTTTTAATATGCCTGCAAGAAATTCATTTAATATTTTGAACATTAAATCTTTGAACGTCAAAAAAATTGGAATCAGTTTCAGATCGAACAAATTCCCTTGTCATAGCTTTCAAAGAATTAAAAAGGTCTCATATTCTATGCAGCTTTTCTACTCCAAGTTGAGAACTTAATATTCAAAATGCAACATGCGGATTACATGTAAAATTATTATTTTTGTCTTTCAGAATTTCATCTCAATAAATCTAAGACAGACTCTACACATAAACATGTTTGAACATATCGCGGTATTGGGTTTATCTGGCGTCGCAATTTCTTTTCTTTTTTTATTTTTCTTGAATAATTCGTACCTTCAAGATAACGTTTGCTTTAGCAAAAACTGGGGAAAGAACGTGAATTAAGTTCTAGAGAACCTCAGATGTAAGAAGAAGGAAATTTCCCACCACAACCAAAAGTGTTTTGTGCAATGTGCTAAGTTGTTTGATGCAAAATTAACGATTGAGAGATACAATTGCGAATGCGAATAGGATATAAACTAATGAGAAGACCGACGATGAAAAAACGCAGCGAAAATTGCATGCAAAAAGAAAAACCAGAAAACGATATCACAAGTGTTTGTGACCAACTGTTAGTTCCCATTGCGCGTGATTCATACATAGTCAACGACCGCAGATGTCAGCTTCGTTTTCAAGAAAAATCCGGGAAGTAAATCTATTTTTTTTTGTTATTCGTATCACAACCGGCATATCCATTTGGCTTTTACAAGGTAGTGAAAGTGATATGAAAACTGATACATAACTTCTCTCTCATAACGTCTGCCTTATTTGCTGAGCTGTTATATCAAATTATTGCCATTACTTCAATATTTCAGTATTCTGCAACCAAACTATAATCAGTTTTTCATTATTTTATTTAAATCAAAATCATATTGAATTCAAAATCGTTTCAAAACTTTAAGGTTCGTGTAGGTTAGAAATGATTTACTGCACAAGACCGTGAAGTGTGACAGTTCGTTCTGGTAAGATCGTGCGGTATTATGTGGTGTTTCTGACCCTTAACGAAGGTGTTTGCATACACAAAACACCTGGAATGAAAAAAGCCTGTAAAACGTCTGGACTCAACCGCTGGCAGCAAGGAAATAGTCAAGTTCACAGAGGAAAGTCAAGAGGGAGAAGCACTAGCGTGGAGCTTGTGTGAGGGCGTTTTGGCATACACCTAGGATAAACGAAAAGGATGCAAACGGAGATACGCCGTTGATATAAGGTTACTATTGTGATGTGAAAGAAGAATGCTCTTAATAGCGGGGTACGAAATCGAAAAACAAAAGGCAATGAGGATGGGTAAGGAAAGAAAAGGAAATATTACAAGACACGGATTGCAAATGACAAAGTGGAACGATTTAACCCTGACTAAATTTATGCCACCTTTCATTGCGGTTCATTTTCCAGGTGTACCTTCAATGCTGACAATGGATACAAAAATTTCACGAACATCTTTCCGGATGGACAAAAAATAAAGTCCCACGAAATCCGCTCCTAGACAATGCCTTCAGTAAACCCTCTCACTCTCAGGATCTAATTGTTAATTCTGCCCTCTAGCTGCGACACATTACCTTGTAAATTAGCAACGATAATTTAGTGGTAGATCAAGATAACAGGGACTTTAAGCAGTCAGGACATCAACGCTAAGGAAGACTTCGATTAAAAAATGAATTTCCTTTAATTAGAATTTAAAAAATGGCTGCATGTGTTTACCGTCTCATACAGCGCCACACCTCAACTTCAGCATAACGTATTAAAGAAGCGTTGAGTTTCGAATGGAAATTAAAATAATTCGCCGTCGCGGTTTCGGTTTGCAAACGACGCTAATTGTGGTGATTTCACTTTCTTGTTTTGCGTAAGGCGGCTAAGAAATGTACAAAGTTTTAAAACGTACGTGCTGAGCTATTGTTCTGCCAATTAGATCTTTTGTTTTTCCTCGTTGCCGTCGCCGTCGTGGTTTGCTTAAGGTCCCCAGCAACTTCCATAAGTCTGAGTATTCTCATTACCTGTTTGCTAGATAATGTACGGATGTTATAGGGAGAAGTTACATGCTGATCTGTTCCGAGTTAAAGGGTTAAGGTAAAGATTACAAGGACAAGAAGAAGTTGCACAAAGACTGCTGTGAATAAACAACGGAGAAACTGACTAGTTCGATGAGAATTACACAAAATGTACAGCGCACCTTTGCTAACAAAATATTTATTTACCAGCATTTGAATGCGACGCTTAATATCAGTATACTACAGTTCAGTTCATAGCGTCGGTCTAGGAATAATTGTGTGACTTCTTTGACAGTAGCGCTCCTCAACAGCGATATATTACAGCGCTCGGCAAAATAATTATGGCGACCATGTAAGTGTGCAGAGCGAAGCGCACAGCTAACACATCGAGTGCACTGAAATACTGAATAAAGAACTTTTCAGGTGGAAAACTTTTATGAAAAAGAACTTCTGTATCGACTTCTACCCATTTACACCTGTACAACATGTTTAGTTGAACCGAATTTAACCGAATGAAAATCAGAAACAGAAAACTTAAAACCCAAATTTTCCATAAGATTCAAGTAGTCACCAGCTTGTACCTTCAAAGTGATAAATTTGAAGTAGACAAACATTGCTTTGATGCAGAAAACAATTTTCAACCGTCTATAGCAAAACAGCTTTAAACATGTCTACGCTTTGGTGTGAATAGAGTATTAGAGGTATAACCAGAATGTAACAGAACACTGTAAAACATAATGTAATTCCAACGAAATTTTCTAGTAAGCCTTAAAGCTAAACGGGAGGTATGAATACAGTAACGGACGGCAACAGCACTTACATGATATGCGGTTATCATTCCAAAATAAGACTCACTTTTTAATTATTCCGAGACATGATGCAGATATTCAAACTATCGTCGCTATAATATGTTTCCCTCAGCGCCTAAGAGCTGTGTTTCCTGATTCCTACTCTGTTAAAGGAACAAGACGTCCCGTGCACTCAAATGCCCCCTCGCTTGACTGACATCCAATACTCAATGAGTAATGTGTTATTTGCTGAGAAATCTAAGCGATATTTATTTTCGCCATTTTAAAGCGAAAGTCTTTCGAATATTACCCATTGTTGATCCTCCACACTTGACGCTGGACGTCACAGCATCCGTGACTTGAACTAACCCGTGCGTGACACTCATCTCGTCACGCCTCTTTGCACAGTTCAAACACTATTACGTTCACCTCTAAAGCAGTTCATTCTTACAGAACCCGTCGTATGTCACCGCACGTTGAGTGCGTCTAGCTGCTCCCTGAACTCTGTAAAGAGCCTTTGTAGACGAATGTTTGTTCCTGAAAGAAAACGCGCCATAAATAAGTCCAGTGAAATAAATAACGATAACTGTAAGGAAGGTATGTGAAGCTTCGTTTATACAGTTCACCATATTCGTCGATCTAGCATTTAGCCCTTTACACCCTACCATCAGTATGCATATTCTACATACTGTTCTCTATACATTTCCCGAGGTGCTGACAAAGAGAATTTGCTTAACAATCTAAAGCTTCTTTCGTTTGTGATCATTTCCTTTATTCTCGTAACACTAATTGTGATTCAGGGGTTATATTTTAAGGAGAAATTAGACGCTAGTTGCTCACAGGGTCTAAGAGGTTGAAAGAACCCCATTATGAACTTACCAATATGAGGCAACAGTTCACGCAAAAGATTTCTTTTCTGGTGTCCCTAAAAATGGAAATATTTCAAACAATTACGCACATTGACAAATTACCTATTATGCGAATTGTGTAACATGAAATGGAAAAGTAACGGTACCAAGCAAAACTGACGTGCTACAAGGGCGCATTTCGATCCAGTGAGAAAACCACAGTTATCAAAACAAACAATTAAAACAAGGGAAAAATCGTCAGAGGTCTATGACAGTGGGAGTAAAAAGACGCAGACATGTAACGCGTGTAACCAAGTCGCCATCTGTTTAGCTGCGCATCTATGCAATTCAATCCCCCATTACTTTCGACGCTTAGAACACTTTTCGATTGAGTGTCGTAAAACAAAACCAAAGTAATCACGACGGCCAATCAGAAAAAAAGAAAAATAACCTGAAGAGCCAATGAGATATCAAAGTAAATCAAATAAACCACCTAAAGCGCGGGAAAACGCGGGCGACCAAGTCGTGATGCTGTTATTTTTGCATCTGATGGGTTGAGAATAGTGCGAGTTTTCTAGACCAATCACAGAGCAAATAAAGAAAAACCAGTGTAATCTCAAGTAACTTTCGACGCTCTAACGGTAAATTGCACTAACACTAATGAAATGACAAAAAATAAAAATTGAATACATAAATTCAAAAAAGGAAAAGTTGATTTGTCACAATTACCAGTATGGTGGGGTTCCAATTGACACTTTTGTCTTGTGCTCCTATTGTTCTATAAAAAAATAAGAACAAAATGTAAACAAACAAAAAATACAAACAACACAAAACCAAAAATTATATAACAATAACAAAAACAAAACAACAACAAATCAAAAACTAAAAGGACGTGAACCAAAAGAAAATTGACTGTGACTGTCTTGAAAATCACAAATGAACGATCCTATGGGAGGTAAATGTTTAAATGACCGAGTTCATAGAACAAATAAACATGAAAAAGAATAAACAGCCAGGAAACAGTGGAACCAATTAACTGACGAAAATTCACCAGCTACAATACAGAAAAAAAATGGTGGTTAGCAGTTTTTTAAATTGTAAACTGACGAAACTCTAGTCTGGGTTAACGTCAGTTTGTATTATTGAAAACACGAGCTCATTTAAAGGTGTGCTTAGTGAATTCAGTAACAAATTGTTTTTCTTTTCTGTGTTCATTATTAATCTGGTTTCTTTACCTGTGTGGAGGTCCAAGTAGCTCCTCGCAAACTTCCCTTAATCGTGGTTCAAACCCTAAAAACACACATCTCAAGTTTTAAAACGACGTTTGGAAGAGTGGAAACATCTCGTTTACCCGAAGAACAAGGGAGGAAGGGGCAGACGAGGAAACTTTAGGTGGGGGTAAATCGCGGACGTCTTTAAACTTTTTTTGTAAATAAAACCCGTTTATTTCGCGACCCTGTTCAAGACATAAAATTGTGAAAATTGAGGCGTGTCAACAGGAAGAATCGTCAAAATTAGAGATTGTTGGGACCACACATATAAATTGTGCCCCGAGACACTCTACACAAGACTACATGATGCAACTATACACCTTCAGGCCCCGAAAACTATAATCTGTTTGAAAGTAGTTCCCTCGTCTGGCCAAATAAAGGAGTGTGTGTCCCCCCCTACGAAATGAGGAGTCAGAGCAGAAATAAGCTAGTTAATTGAAATACAAAAAGGTTCACGAACCTGCCTGAGAGAGATACCGTACGTACGTTGTCAACCAAAAATAGTACTCTTTACCAGATCCCAAGGCGACGCAAGACGACAGTTGGTTCTTGAAAATAAATAAATGAACATAATAAATTTACACCTAAAATGACCAGCAGATCACAAGGCCCAGCTTTCTCTTGGCATGACCGACAAGAAGAGTAACTGCATCTATAGTTACTAATATCCTACTCAAATTCTCTCTGTTCTTGGCATGTAAGATGCATATTGTAATATAACTTCTGTGGAATCGCATTACATTAGCTCACGCGCCAGTGGGGGGTAAAAGTGCTGCTGCTGAACTTAAATGCCTCCTTGGACGCCCCCCTCCCCCCCTCCATTCACGCGGAGGTTTTTTGAGCATGTATTTCAAAATAAATGCTAATTCCTTGAATACACCAAAAATACAGGAAGGCTTGACAGAGATCTCACTGCAGATTCTATCTCAAGAATGATGTCACTGGGAATCAAATGAACTTCTGAGTAGTTGCGGCTTCTGACTAACCTCCAGATGAACCGCTGTAGCAGACTGTTGTCTCCCTGTATTTGACCGGAAGACTCTTGAGGACTGACGCCCGATTCTGACACAATGAAAATCAAATTATTTTAAAATAAATTTTACACATCAATACTAAGACATGTTTTAGATGGATAAATTAAGCAACGCGTTTTCATAAATGGCAATAGCCATTGTAAGTCTACTTTTGCCGTCTGCCCTCCAGTCGTTTGAGAAATAATGTGAGGTTTTTTACATTTGTAGAAGAGGTCTTGAGCCAGAGTTTGAAGAGATTCGACAGCATTTAACTAAGAATGAAATATGTCATAAATTTTCAAATCCTTAAGTTTTAAAACCAACAAAACTACTTTAAGACACACCTCGAACTCTGCCCTTGTAGTTGAGCGAGAGGACCCTTCGCCTGAAGGGGATCTTGGGATGGCGCCACCGACTGATGGTCAGAGTTGACAGCCAGGAGGTCATCAGCGTAAATAAGCTGCACCCTATAAACAACATATCGCCTTAAACTTCCGTCGTTCTTCAGTATTGTCTTGGGCATTCTTATTGCGCATTATTTTAAGGGTGATTAGCGCTCCTTCACATCATCTTGGTCCATGGAAATGCAACGAAAAAGGGGCTTGGAAAATTTCCAACTATCTTGACCGAACACGTTTGTCAACTAGACATCTATGGCGGGTATCAAATGTTATCACTCTCACGTGTTTCAATGAAATCTTCCTTAAGTGGCTACCCATCGTGCACTAGGTGCCTAGGCAGTAAGGCATAACCCAAACGTAAGAGCCTGCTTGCAGCTTGCCGGCTCAACAGACGGCGGTAAAAGGTCTTCTAGCCGGCGGTAGACCGCTGACCATCGGCTTTGATTGACACCCCAAGATTCTATTACGAAGGATAATTCCTAAAACAAGTATCAAACATGTTGCACAAGTTCAAGCTATTAGCCTTAATAGAAAGGCCTTGAGTGAAGATCAGTTACAGCAAACTTCAAAGGATCAGTGGAAATTAGGACAAAGAAAACAGAGCCAGAGTTCACTTTTTTCCAACTGTACATTACGCTTGAACCCACTTGTAATAACTTGTTCTTACCACGCCCCTACAGATGTGTCCAAGGAATAAGATGCGTGATTGGACAGGGTGATGATTGGAAATCCTCGTTCTGAAATCGAGGCTCGAGTAATCGTCACATCTGGACCTGTAGAATAACAGGTAAGCTCAGCGTTTGCAAATATTTGCTGCAAATCTTTTATGTATCAAATAATAAATGTATACATGTACATGTGTAACGTAACCGTAATCGCTAAAGGTTAATTTTTTCTTCCTCCAAATTTTACAACATACCTGATAGCAGTGGAAGCACTGATTCATTTTTTAGCACTGCGGCGACTCTCTTTGTGTCCCTGGGTAAAAAAGAAAAACGTTTCTTAACCCTTTACACCCTAAAATCAGAATGCATATTCTCCACATTGTTCTTTTTAGTTATCCTAAGGTGTTGACAGGGAGAATTTGTTTACAAATCAAGATTTTCTTAAGTTGGTGATCATTTTCTTAGTTCTTGTGACCCTAATGTTTTATTCAGAGTGATGTTGGAAGGAGAAAGTAGACGCGAGTCACTCTTAGGAGTCAAAAGTTTATACTTAAAACGTCGTGTTAACTAAATGTACTCTCTAACAGGTTTTCAAAGAAAACATTATAACAAATACGAAACAAACAACCACGACACTTTTTCTTAGCAGAGGTTCCATAAAAAAAAAGAAAAACTTCAAAACCAAAGGACGTTTGTTGAATACTTACCAAACAAACACTCCCCCAGAGGAGGTGACAAGCATGACATAATGACGGCTACACTGCAGAATGGAGGCTGGTGAGTCCAACACCATGGAAGGTAGGATTCTGTTCAATTATAATTCAAACATTTTTAGGAAATTCACGTGAGCGCTTCGCAACACGAATCCCAAAGTTCACACTATAGTGTAAATTGCATATAGAAACGACACTTGCTTACTTTCGTCCAGTGGAAGAAAACATGTCGATACTTCGGTTTTCACAAGCCACGGAGACCACTTGTCTTTACGGGGAATGAAAATCAGAGAAACAAAATGAAAGGAGATCACAAAGTTAAAAATCATTTGACAATTGACAAAAATACTTCATCTGCGTTTTTGCGTTGACTCATTGGGTCTCAAAATCATTGGCTCTGTTTTTTCCTTGTATCTCAAGCTTCTTGGATTTAGAGGTGAAATACAAATAATCTTACTCCTTCAGAATCTTTAGCGAGTCCACCCTAACTCACCGATTGCCAGCCAAGGCTATACCGGGACTTATAATCACAGTCTCCCACAAAGGTTTACCAGCAGCAGAACACTTCAAGATATGCGCTCTGGGCCCTAAAAAGAACCAGTGGGATGAGTCAAAGAAACGTTGTGTCTAATCAAATTTATGAATTTGTCCACTACCATTTGTAAATCTTTCCTTCGATAACAAGACGTGACGGAATCGTTCAGCCTTGATTGATGAACTACATACACTTTCCTGCAAGGCACATAAGCAAAAAAAGGCTGCTTGGTGCTCTGCTAAAATAGCTAAAAATTGTTATTCCTCCTACTAGAGACATCTCGTCAGGGAGCGAGCTACGATGGACCTTACACCTGTCCGAGAAAATCACTTTCTCATGCGAAGGTAACGATTTTCATCAACATACACAATGAAAGTCTGCGGTGGTAGAGACCAACGTATTATTCAAGCGACTACAAAATTAACTTGATGGTTGTAGAAACCTTGTTTACCTTGGTTGGCCAAGTTGTTCTCTAGGTCAAGTGTAAGGGCAGGCTCACCACCATTTCCTTTAATCTGCAAAGGAAGTGAAAGCACGAGTTATCACACATTACTCCTTTGAAAAGAAATTTCACGCCCCATAAGAAATGTCTGCTCAATAACATTGACATTTTAGATCACAAAGTTACCTGGACTGTGAGATTTTTCTGTGGGGTGGGGTATGGAATAGCCACAGAATGCCTCACATGTAAAGAGGCGTCGACACTCTCCTCTTGATCTGTTCTATCTTCGCGCTGTTTAGACTAAGAAAACAAACAAACAAACAAAAAAGTAGATAACTCTTAAGCGAACCTAAGCAGTACTCTAAAAACCCTTTTTACCCTGAAAAGGACAAGCAGAAGGATTTCAGCGCAGTGTTATAAATTTCTTCTTCACATCATTCGATACCCTGAGAAACATGCTCTCTCGCATTCACGACGGGGAATACAGTTTTCAATCACTGTTAAGAAAGGTGCAGAACTGAGCTTGACTAACGGGTTTTACAGTTACTTACATTGCTAGAGCCACCTGCACTCTTTGAACCTGCAAAATACGGAAAGGTCAAAGTTTAATAGAAGAAACATTTAGTCAAGTGGAATCGCGATTTAAAGAGCGGAATTTCGAAGTGATGGGTAACGGACGCTTATTTGGAGCTGAGCTTATCTTGATTACAGTCGAGCTTTCCTGGAAGACCACTTGAAAGCGACCACTTTTCCAAGAGACAAAAATGATAGCTTTTGTTTTATTTATCAGCTTGTAATTGCAATCCTTAAAAAATTTCCAAGGCGAACCTGTTGTATGTGGCCAAAGGGGATTGGCATTTTAGGTGTTAGCTTGTAAAAACGAAGTTCAACTGTATTGACTGTCATAGAGAGAGATATGTTTCGATGTTTGACACAAATTCCAGTGTTAATAGAGTAAATAGAGTGAAATATTTCTAACCTGGTCTACAAAAAAGTCTGTCTGCTTTTCTATCCGCACAAGGGACGCTCACAGCACCGCTGATTCTATGCATGTTGTATATGGCTTTCGTATATGGCCTTAGTCACTTATGAGTCAGCTCCGAAGGTTTGAGGTTCGATTCTTCGTGAGGCTTTCTAATTTTATTCTTTATTTAACAATCGTGACACTCAGAATAATCATCTTCCTTTATAAACGCCATTGTTCAAAAAAAAAAAAAAGCGCCATTTTCTTTGCAGTCATGGATCCAACTAAATATTAAGATACAAAATACCTGAACTGCTTCCATCTTTCCTGGCTCGTTTAGACTGTGATGATGTGGGCGTATCTGATTTCCTCTTCACCGCAATAGTCGTAGCAGTAGTTGACGCAGAGGTCGAAGACACCGTTGTTGTGGGAGTTGAGGTAGGTTTGGTTGCTGTGATGGGCTTCATGGTGGCAGACACAGGTTTTACGGCAAGGATCTCTGCTCTCTCGGGTGTCTTGTCCTTTGACCTAAACACCAAAGGAAAACATTTGTTATTAGTTTTTTTTTTTGGCAACAGACTTCAATAATTTTACAAGCTTTTTTTCGGCTGATGGTTACCCTAGTTAACCAATTCACAAGCCCAGATTATTTGGCACCCAGACCCTTTCCCTTAGGGCCGGGCCAAACGCAAGTAACATTTCAACGCAACCTCTTGGAACATTGTTGGATCGTGTTTTGAGATGTTGTAGAGGAGATGGCCAAACGTGCGCAAAATCTGGCAACAGTTTAGTTCGTTGACCTTTATGTACCTACTTTTGCCTCCATATCGCACACGCTGATACCAAGAGCGCCTTATAACAGTTCGTTCCCTTGTTCCCTTGTCTCTCTTGAGTGTTGCAACTTTGCGAATATGTTCTAAAGGCACGGACAATCCTCCAACGTGTCTAGCAACGACGTGGTCTCCATCTCAGTCCACATTCTTGGTGACCCGTGATCTGGGTATTATTGGCTGTCATGTTTAAAGACGAAAACCGATAATTGCACGCGTGCTCTGATGCAACTTGTTGCTAAAAGGTGGCCAAACGCGTGTAACACGGTACGCAAAACAATGTTGCAAGACGCTGCGTTGAAATGTTGCGTGCGTTTGGTCGGGCCATCATCCACTGTTTTTCCTTTTCTGGTTTAAAGAAGGGAAGGGAGTATTCATTAACTAAATGGATGCTCGAAAGGGAGTATACCTATGTCTTATCAAAGGACACCTCACGATCACCCACCAGTAGAACTCGAATCCAGATCGTTTGATTAATTGTAATAACATGACGCCGCCGAGTCTTCCCTTCGGATCCTTTACAGATTACACTCAGGCCAACATGAAAATTGTACGGTGTAGGTACGTTTATTTATGAATCAAATTAACTATTCTTACTTGCTTGTGAATCCTGTCGTTGCATTTTCGCCGATTCTCGAGTCCAGTGCCACTAAATTCTAAATAGGAAAAATATTCAGTTCAACGTAAAGATACTTTTCCTGGAGAAACGTGTAACTCCATAGCCTGCGTGATAATTCTTTACACAGAGCAGTTTTCCAACGAATGTGAGAGGTAATCCGGGATATTACCTCTAGTAACGTACAGATAAGAAAAAGATGTGCAGTATTTACAAAAATGCTAGAAACCAGTTGTTGACGAGCTGGGGTATGAAGTAGGTTCAAGCGCCAGTATACTGCTTAGATAAGTCGTGTTTGTAAATTTGGTTGGCTGGTTCGTCGAAAATAGGAGAATGTTATTCAAATGGAACGAGTGTGGGATAAACAAAATATCCAAATCCCACAAGAAACCTATGACCTAGGGAGACCGACATGACCCAAAGACCCAGCTTCAAATGTACTACCTTCGTCAATCTACATGTAAACATCTTTTACCTGGGATGTGGCTGGAATGGAGTTCGACACCTGAGATGCGCCACTTGGGTTTGAATTTCCGGGGGGTGAAATAGCAGCTGAAGATCCTCCAAAAGGAACAGGCGAGTCACTGTGGAGCAGATGAGTACAAAGTATTTTGCAACAAGACAAAGGCGGTCCGATTTGCGATAGTCTAGATAAAATGTCAAGAATACTGCAGTATTTTCAAGAAAAGGAATAAGGACAGTAACGGAAAGGTATCTTTGCAAATTTTCACTTTCCTCTAATTTTCTTGTTTGCTGTACTTTCGAATGTCGTTCGGTGACCTAAAGTTTTAAAAGATCAACAAAAGCCAGTTCACCAAATCGCTTGGATTTGCCCACATTTATCGTTCTGTTCATTTATCTCGACGGTTTTCACCCCTGCAGCCGTAATTACTAATCCGATTGTTTTGTCTTTAAAAACTTCGGAGAACACTAGCGCCTATTCCTCTCTTCCGCTGTTTCATGCCTCGCTTCATCATTCCTTGGCCGCTTTTTTTTTTCTTTCTTTTTTCAAAGGGAAGTAAAATTGGGTTTTGCAGTTCTCGAATTTAAATGAAACAAATTTTCTAAAGGCATATGATTGAAAACAAACAAGGTTTTATGAACACAAGTAAAAACGTTGCTTCTATATAGGGGTTGTACAAGAACAAGAAAACATAGCAAGCAGCACACCTCACTTCCATAGTTGAAACTAAGAGTGGAGTGATGCGGCGACGACCATCTTTGGTTCTGGTTTCCACTTGCTTTTCTAAAACATTCTACAGAGAAACAAAATCTGGCTTAATGAAAATAAATGGACGTTACGTGCCAAATGCACGCGGTAGTTCTTCATTCACGGATCCAGGCCAAATTAGACCGTTCGAGACATTCAGTTAGTAAATTTTAAAAGCTAATTGGACAGGACGAATGCGTCCTGGGACTCCTAATTCTATCCAACTGAACTGGGAAAGTTTGGTACTTCTGCAAAAGCAACACCGGAGAAACTAAAGCAACAAACGTAACCCATATCGGATGCTGGGTTTTGGAAACAAACCTGGATAACAGTGGTTGGAGGCCAGCGGTTTCACCATTGTGCTTTTCTGGCAATACAAGCTTAACCCTTAACACCCTGACATTATTAGTATTCATATTCTCCAAACTGTTTTCTTTACATTTCCTATGATACTGATGGGGAGAATTTATTTAGCAATCTGGAGCTTTTTTAATTGGTGATCAATTCTTTTATTCTCATGACCTTTGTATTTGATTCAAGATTGATAATGTGAGGAGATATTAGAAGCGAGTGACTTTGGGAGAATAAAGTGTTAAAGGTTAAAAAAAAAAATGGATGTAAAGTTTATTATCCAGTACGTATATGCATTTAAAAGGGCGAAATAAATCGAACATTTCCGCATGCGACATACATCAAATCAAAATTCCCAGTCTGTACTCACTACAGGATCAATTGGGCTCCTTGTAACTGGACTGGTCAATGAATATGACGGACTCTTCATGGGAGTGCTGCCTGAAACACACAGAGAAAAATATAGAAGTCAATGAAAACTCGTGTACTGTAATACCACCAGGTTAACAAAAGATGACGACTGGTACATAGCCAAAGCTCGCAGAGCGAGCATCCGTAAATATTAAGAAAAAAATGGTAACGTTGTGCCACAGGCGAAATATCAGGATTTTTCTGAGAATATTTAACATCGAAGAAAAAGGCAAGGGAACTAAAAACCAGTTTAACTATAGTAAATCAGCGTAAAAAATACACAAGCCTTAGAGGAACAAATAGAGAAGCGAGGTATATCGTAAGTGTGTTTTAATTCAAAACTATGGTTGACATTTTCATGTTAAGGATGCGATGGTTATCGGTGATATCGCCCGGATGTACGGTTGACCCAAGTTTCGTCGCCCCTTGATGTGGTTGTGTCGCCCTCAACTTTTGACCTTTAAGGGGGGCGACGAAACTTGGGGCGACCGTGCATGGGGACGAAGTCACCTGATACCGATGCGACGTTCATTCGGACACAAATCCTTACACTGTACTTCGCCTACAGCGCAATACAGACATATTTTCATATTTGCTGACGAGGCGCATTGAGCGAGCTTGGGCTGCCTATGTTACACCACGTTCTAAAAACACTCACCATTCATAGCTGACGAATCTTGCTTGGTTGGTGTTCCTGACGGAATCAACGGGGGAGGTGGAGCAGGAGGTTTGTTTGTGTTGGCCAGTGTCTGTTGTTTCATTGCGTGTCGTTGTTGAATCTTTAACATTTCGGGATTCTCAATAATGGCACTGGCTAAGTTCGTCTTGCTGCTGTTGATGCTAATGCCATACACCTGTTTGTGGAACTTTTCCTACAAAACAAACAAGGGAAAATGACGGTTGAATGGACAAATCCAAATTGAAATCTTAAATGCTGTACAGCAGTTAAGAATGACTTTCAATAATCAAATTAAAACACTGACTGTGTGTGATTTAAACTCGAAAACAACACATGATAATGTTGTAGAGAAACTACGTCGAGAACTCTACACTCTACTGTTAATAGTGCAAATTTTGTAATAGACATTAAATCGTGCACAGAAAGGCACACAATCAAACGCTTTTTTAAGTAACATTCTTTAACGAAACGTTCATTTCAATTATTTCCTAACTTCATTGATTGCAGCATAATATTCTCCCATTTGTATAATCCTTCATACAAAAAGTGCAAAGATAATTGTAATGTACTAAAAGACCATAAGTATGTATGTGGCATTTGGCAGACAGTATGTCCACAAAATCTGGTCAGTGGAAAAAGTTTGGATTTCATGATTTGGCACCAAACACTGAGCTAGTTTAATTTAGAGATATTGAAATCTATTCCATCAGTTCTGTACGCTGATTACTTTTCAGTGTCTGGAAGGCCCTGCTTTCAGTAGATGCTCTTTTAATGAAAAATGAGACTTAAGTGCATGACAACACATCTTTCTGATGATGTAGCTGCTTTACATGTATATCAATAACCAAAGCTGATTTATATTAATTCAGAGATTTCAGCAAAGAACACACACCTTTTCCTCCTCAGTCATAGGCCTACCCAGTTCCTCAGCTGTGAAATCAGCATACGCCACAGATCCATCCCATGAACAAACCAGCAGCTGAAAACCTGAATCACTCCTGCAAGCAAAGCCAGAGCAAACCTCAACACCAACTGACTGCCTGATATGCTGAGAGGAGGGAGGGGGGAGGAGGTGACTCCAACATCAAAGGAACAGCAAGTTCTGGTTTAGCAGAGATACATGTACAGAACTGTGACTCAATTTCCAATTACAATTTTGCATGCTCCTTCACAATCATGTCAACAGCCATAATGTATTCCTTCAAGGTTTTCATGTTTTTAATTTCTAAGCATTTTCTAGGAGTGTGTAGGGTAGATATAATGTATTTATTTGTAAATATTTATTTGTGATACTGCCAAATTTCTTATGTCAAAAGTAGTTTAACATTAACATGTACAGATTTTTGTCAAGAAGACTTACCAGGATACATCCATGATTGAGTGATTGAATAAGTCATGCATGACAACAAGAGGCCTCTTGAGGGATGTTAACTGGTGTGGAGAAAGAGGGTTTCATCCAAAAATCAGTTTAGTTAAATTTGCAATTAAGGGAGTAAGAGAGGACAGGGCTCATTTGAATGCAAGCTGTAAGTGCCTCTTTGACACCATTTCTTAGGAAGCCTTTTCTAAAATTTGACTTCACTGTGTTTAATTGAAATGTTTGCATTCTCATTATCAACTTCACCACTACATGATTGATCTAGCCACTTTTAATAGCTTCTGTATGCAATATGTCACATATCTAGCACTGAATATTCAATCAGCAATATAAAATTATATATTAAGTTATTCACTGCATAGTCATGTCAAATTCTAGCTTGTAGTTTGCTTTAAAATTCAGGAAACATGTACATACCCACACTGAAAGAGACCTATCCCTGCTTCCAATTGCACAACAAGAATATTGCTGAGGACAAAGAGCAAACAATCATGTAAAAGGCATGTATATTTACATGTATACATGTACATTATATATATACTATATGACAAAAATGAAATGATCATAAATGATTTTGTAAATATGAACTCAAGCTACTTGTAAATGTTGAGTTTGGTTAGCAAATAAAAAGATAACTGATTCACTTCTCAAACATAGTCACATGTTAAAAACTAAGAAAAAAAATTTTTTAAAGTGGGTCTCTTTATCTATATGAACATGCATTGAAGTCACTAAAATGTTTTCTGTGAAACTAGGGTCTGGGGTTCAATTCATAAGTCAGATTTTTGGTTTAAATTGTCCCAGGCTGGAAACAAATAAATAGCAACGCACTACAATAACGTATGTCTTCATATAACAGTTAGGAAACACAAAAATAACTCCAGGTTGCAAAGCCTCATCTTGAAAAAAAAAATCTGCTTTTGACATTATTGCAACATACAACAAAAATTTGATGATTAAAACACAAGAATTCTCATTGATATGATCATGTAAATGCAAGCATCGAGGTTACATGTATTTTTAATGTTACCTTGGGTCTAGATGATTCTTCACCAATTTTTTTTACAAATAGCTTTGGGTTGAATCTCTAAGAGTTAACAAATTCAGTGAAGTTAGTCTATAAAAGCCACTGTTGACTCTTGATTCTTGATTCCACTCTCCTAGCTCTACAGGACTACTTGTTGTAATATAAAGGTGACATTTACCAATTAAACTTTAGGTTTTAATCAACAGTCTCTTACAAAGTCACAGTAGAAAAACATGGTGGGTAGGTACTCTGAGTAAGCAATTCAAATGCAACTCAACACAGCATTAGTTACACGACATTATGCTGTTCTCAGAACCTCCAAGCGCAAAAATGTAAGGCATGTTAAATCACACAGTTCTAAGCACAAGTGTCTGGAATGTTAAATTATACATCACTACTCTCGTGGAGCATGATCAGACAACATGATCAAAATCTGCTGTTATACAATTATTGTAGTTATACACAATTTTTTATTTTTCATCATATCAAATCTTACCACACATGTAATAGCTTTCCTGTGCCCAACAAAGTCCATTCTCATCTTCCAGCCATCCCGCTCAAGGATCTTTGCCACTGGGCCTGCATTATTCATTGCATGTGCTGATACCACATAATGTCCATCAGGTGACCAACTGAGACGAAGAACATGGGTGGTGCCACTGCATTCAGCAAATGGCTCAGTTACTTCACTCTCTTGCTGCCAATCAGATGTTCGCCAAACCTTCAAAGTCTTGTCATCGGATTGAGAGGCAAGATATTTTCCAACAGGATCCCAAGTGATGCCTTTGACCATACCACTGTGGCCCTTTAGTACAGTAACAACATCTGAAAAGAAATAAGATTTAAATAAGAGAAACAATACCATACAAGGTTGGGTCTCAAAATAGTCTTCTAGATTGCCACAGCTTTAGCATTTTCTTTGTCTATCAACTGAATTCATAACCTGGCCACCCTGGAGAGTTTCAAAACCTGATGTTTTTAGTGTGAAATCTTTATCATAATAAATTGACAAAGGGCTAGAGCTCAAAATATCAGCTTTAGAAATTCTCTTTAGAGGCCAACTTACATTACCAACTTATTTGATAAAAGCAAATTAACTCATAGTACAGCAGTTCATGAATCTCCCACAAATGCAACATCACAGTTTCTTTAGAAATTTACTCCCTTTTCCACATCTTAACCCTTTAACTCCCATGAGTGACCAAAACAGAATTTCTCCTTACAATATTGAAATAAAATCAAACAGACAAATGTTGAGAATAAAGGAAAATATCAATAAAAGGACAAGTAATTGATCTAATACCAGATTCTCTAAAGTATCATCATAAGAATCGAACCACAGACAGTAAGGAGAATTACATGTAATGGTGAGATCTTGGGAGTAAAAGGGTTAAAGCAATTTCTATGGTAGGGATTATATCAGGGTCCCTGTTTATACTCCTACAAGTAAGCCTGGTTGTATGAGGAGCAGAGAACACTATCCAATGGATAAATCACTATCTAGCAGATTAGTGATAGCAAAATGTATAGCGTTTTCCACTGAATAGAGTTTTATCCAATGGATAGCGTTATCCAACTTTCAAACAACCAGTGCGTGAGTGAAAAGAGGTACATGTAACATGAGGCTGAAGTGTTTTGCTTAAGAACAAAACACAATACACTTAACCAGCCAGGGCTCAAACTCTTGAGCTACAGATCTGGAGTCTGACCAAAAAACACTTCTGTTGTCACAACTACTCAATAGCACCCAATAATTATAAGCCCAAACATTCAAAATATCAAACTGTACATTGGTGTCTACTGGATGTTGTTCATTTCTTTGCAAGAGACATGTTTCAATTCACAGTTTTGGGCAAGTTTGCACACACACACAAAAAATTTGACACTGCTACTGTCAGTAACAGCTGAAATTGTGGCCAAATACACTGTTCTTTTAAAATAATTTGAGAATTAGCCACTAACCTGGAAATCGTTGAGCATTCCAAATAGTGATGGTGTTGTCAACACTTCCTGATGCAAGGAAGCTGTCATCTGGAGACCATGCCAAATCCAACACATCTAATGCAAACACATGGGGTGAATGTCAAGAAAGAAGTGCTCATCAGCTTTGTCACACAAGCTTACAAGGTTAAACCTTACACATTACATACGCAGACTTGAAGACTGTTAATGCTAACAGTTCAAGTACAATTCAAACCTCTTACTAGCTAAGTTCCAAGTTGCATACTGTAAGTTCTGCACCAATTTTTTTCCACTTAGATTTGTGGCTTAAGCATGAGAGCATGCAGGCTTTAAATCTGAGTAGCAAAAACAAACTTTCTTAACAAACAGTACCAATCAAAAAAACAAGATTACTAACTAAAGATACTTATTATATCTTTGGGTTCAACTAGGAGGGGAAGATTTTAATTCAAAAGAAACTTTTAAATTTGGGGGCCTAACAGTTAAATATCACCTGCTAATTAACCAATAAAAGCACATGCACTGACTGAGAAATAAAACATGTTGCTTTCCACTGGCTAAGTGAAAAGGAGTAAGAGTGAAATTCTTAGTACAAAATTGTTCAGGCCAAAGAGTGGGTCATGTGACTTTCAGTATGTATTTGTTTTTGTTGCATCCACCTTTTCTGATCTTTTCAGTCTTAACCCTTTAACTCCCAGGATCTGATTGTTAATTCTCCCTTTTAGCTGCTAGATATTTCCTTTAAACTAGTTGCAAGAATTTGGTGTTAGATCAAGATAAAAACTTTTACCTGATACATTTGAGTATTCTCATTACCTGTTTGATGGATAATGGATGGATATTGTAGGGAGAAGTTATATGCAAATCACTTCGGGGAGTTAAAGGGTTAATTTTTTCAAGATGTACACATGTACATAAATGCATGGTTCTAGGTTTGCAGCTTGTAGTGGCACACATATACAAATGTACAGGCATTAACCTGGCACAGCTAGCAATAGTAAATGAGAAATAGTGCCAGTAAACAAAATGCTAAAACCTTTGACCTTTGACCAGAGACTCACCTCCACTATGACCTCTTAGAGTGTTGACACATCTCCACTGCTCCACATTCAATTTACTGTTGTTACCACCAAATACTGCTGCTGCTCCCATTATCCTGGTCCCAGTTCAAAGACAAATATCTACTATTAGAATAGCAGTTAGACTGTTTACATCTACTAGTGAGGATCAATTTGGCATGAGGTTTTCTCTGTTACCTTGCCATTTGCCAAATCATGATGAGTTTGTCATCTCCTCCAGTTGCAAGATATTTTCCACCACAAGACCATCTAACACAGTTCACACATGCTGAAAAATAATTCACTTATGATTTACAGTATTTCATCAAACCTTTACACCCTAACATACAGTATATACATGTATATTCTCCATACTGTTCTCTGTACATTTCTTGAGGAGTTAACAAGGAGAATTTGTTTAACAATCAATGCTCCCTGTGTCGGTGAACTTCCTTTATTCTCATGACCTAAATGTATGATTCAGGGTCTTATTCTGGTGAAATATTACCATATTTATTCAGCTATAAGCCAATCTCAGCTATTAGCCGAGACCCCAAACTTTGTACATGTAGACTTGGCATAACGAGAACCAAAAATAAATCTAAAACACCCAGTTATAAGCCAAGACCCATTCATTATTATAAGACTGAATTGTTACCTACAAAAAAAAAACCTAACATTTTCAGAGAAAAAATCACATTGATTGTCATAAATGAGGCTTAGACGATGGTGATTCAGTTTATGGTGATTTAATATGCAAAGGACAAAAAAAGCTAACTATTCAATTGAAATGCAACAAATCATAACTCAGATAAATTAATGTGATCCAAAAACTCAATTTAAAATTAACTTTCGGCTATGAGCCGAGACCCCCTCTAGAGCCCAAATTTTAATTCACTTCAGATTTAATTTGTGTAAAAATCACTCAGCTTATAGTCAAATAAATATGGTAGATGCCTGTCACTCCTAGGGATGAAAGGCTAATGGGGAAACCCATCTACATAATGCTTTCAACACACAAAGCACATTCGTAACTCCTGCAGAGTTAAATGTTTGTTGTCTCTTGAACCTTATACACAGCAAAAGTAGATGGGATTGAAATGTTCAGCTGCCAAAACATAAGTAACATATTCATCTAAACAGAAAGTGCTAATATAACTGCACATGCGCAATGCACAAGTACATATTCAATCACTCAATTGATTGCACAACAACTTAATAAGATGCAGCCCACCAAGATGATTGTCCATTTGGCACAATAACTTGGGTATATTTTCATTCATTTCATCTTCCTCATTTTTCACAGGAGCCATGTTCCAAATTGTGACCTTTCCTGAATCATCCCCTGAAAATTGTCAACATAAACATAAGAAAACATGCACTATGCATCCAGAAAAAGATACATGTAAGCAATTTCTAGATACTTTGAGTAAGAGTAGCATATTATGCTAATGTATTGAGAAAAAATATATTTATTAACAATCAATTAACTCATTAAACCATCATGCATTGTGTCACTTGAATGTGAATGTGAAAATGTAGTTGACTGTAGCACATTAAAATGGATTCTTGATGCTCAGGTACACTTTTTTGAACACATGTTTTTGTTAATGCATGAGTATTAACTACAGGTTCAGGGAGGATGGCAACTGGTATACATGTGACAAATGATTAAGAACAAAATTTATACATGACACATGAATTTATTTTATTTTTTTTTTTAATGGTAAGCATAAGTTGTGAATTCATGAACCTGTGTGAGGAGTGACATGTGTGAGTGTGAGTGTGAGTGTGAGGAGTGACATGCCTCCTGAAATATATGTGACCCATGAATTTTCCCTTTCATTTTGTGAAAACCTCATGATTTTCTTGAAAGTTTGCACACTAGAAGAGCATTCTCAGGACCCCCTTTTCCACTTCCATATCCTCTTAGTACCTGCCACTTTTCACCAGATTTTGGCCCCCTGTTTAGTCTAATTTCAGTTTACTAGCCACTAACAGCCCCAGCTGCAGCCCTTAATTTCCGATCTTCACACTTCCACACTTTGCCTTCAATCTCATCCTTCTAAATCTTAATCTGGAGCAATTAAAAATCCAAATTGTTAAATATCAGCATGGAATAAGTCAATAACGATAAAAACAACATTTTGATTTCGTTGCAAATTTTAAGTACTTGCTGCTCTACAGGTGTTGTAGAGGTGTTGCCTACCATCAACTAAATGTGCAAAACGAAAAAAACCGATAGAACATTGTTTTCTGCCTGGCAACTGCCTATCTTACCAACGAGGTGGCGTGAGGGCCCTTAAAGCATTTTGACCGTTGCCAGCAGCAAGGACAATCTTACAAATTGTAAATTGTGTACATGTACACCACGTACCTTGGCCACCAATAGCAAATCGAGATCCATCTGGATGAATATCAACAGAAAATAGTGGTCTCCCTAGAAAAGAAAAATCAGCAAAGCCAATAACACTTTTCAATCGATTAGCAGTTTTTAACTAATCTCAGTTGACAACAATGTGGACGGGGCGCGTGTTCTAGATTAATTATGCGAAGTTCAAAGTTACTCATACAAGGTTGGACACGCGCAAAAACCAAACAATTAAAACTCTTGATTCGAATAAAAAAAGTTTAGAAATTGATTTTCAGAGAGATTCGTCAAGAGGTCAAAAGAATTTCCCAAGAAAACATGATTGAGGATTTGAACTGTCGCGCCAGAAGCTTAGATCATAGCTGGTTCCAAAGAAAACTCATTTTTTCTTCAACCACTTACGTGTAAAATATTAATCTATAGCTTTACCTTCGTGTGAAACCCAGTTTGGTTTAAGGATTCGCATCGTCTCAAAAATTAAGAAAGATTATAAAAACAGCTGAGATGCGAACTTCAAACTATCCATGCCACCATGTTTAATTACCAGCGTTTAATGTAGTAACCGCTGGACCACAATACCGCTGTTTACTCCAGCCCAGGTTACTTGCACTTTAAGTGTCCATCTGTGTCGGGACCAAAGCAAGAAGCCAGGAAGCGTAAATTAACAGAACTAATTCAGAAAAACTCATAGAAATATCCAAGCATTAAACTAGGGGAGATAAAAATTTCCGTTGTTTAACAACATCAATTCGGTTGTCGATGTCTTATTATCTTTCTTTATAGAATAGGAAGCGACGTTGAAGAAACTTAAAAAATTAATTATTTCAAGGGTGATTACAGGCCTCTCTAAAGGATTTATATATTCTCTATGGAGTTGATCTCATAGGTTCCCATCACGCAAGGCTAGAGCTCTAAGAGGCTCTGTACGCGTGAGGCTTGGGACTGATGACCATTTTTCCGTCCAAGCCTCGCGCGGCTTTGCCGCTAATTTTCACGAACTAAAAATGCGTATAGACAATTAATGGCTGGCTGCTGAGTTATAATTACTGAGCAGCTTTAGAAAAAACACCTCGGGGTTATACGCGTTGAATTATAATGGACCAGCAAAGATTAACTCCTACAAATTAACAGCGACAGAAACTGCCCTGAACGCACCCACCTGATTAGTTCTTAGAACTATTTGGGTGTCCCAAACTCCACACAATTAACATAGTATTTAAACATTCTTTTCTACCTGTCCTTCTTTTATTTCTTAGATATCCTTAGTAACAATGAATCGAAAATTATTTTGGTTTTTTTTTCGTTTCCCTGTTGCACTGTATTCTTTATATTAATATTTGTAACACTGCTGTAATAATTATCACCTTCTCTAATACACTGTATTCGTGTGAGTTTAAATAAAATTGAAAAAATTAAAATTGAATTGAAGATTTGAATTGTATTCTTTCACAGCAGCACGCATTCGACATGAGACTTAATAAAACAAAAAAGGAAAAACTGCTTTTCCGCCTTTAGTTTTTTTTCTTTTCTACGAACTGGCAGTGTTATGCTCTCAATTAACAAAACCTTTATGCCGGCATAATCTTGTAACAAAACATCACCATGCCTCGGGGAGTTTGTTTTACTTTCATAATGATAAAATTAAACTAAACTTCTTTTGTAGCCAGTCACGTACACCATACACAGTGTAAACTTTCAATTTTTTTCGACGAATAAAAATACGGATAAAACAGCTCTTTTTCTACCATCTTCATTCAGCTGACAGCTTTTAAGGTAAGTTTATCTTTAAAACATTTCAGTTCTTGTCCCTTGTAAAAGGCGAATACACTTTTGAAGATCAAATCAACTACGAATTGCATTTCTACAACCATAATAAAAATAAGGTTTAAGTAGAAATATCTGTTTCGATAAGTTTTTTGCAAATGAAAAATATGATCGTTCTTAAAAACTTCAGTATTCTGTCGTAAGGTTACGTTCGCCATTCAAGCTCTTAAAGCGTTCAAACTTTGGTTTATTGGCTTACTGCCGCTAGTCTGATGGCAATAAACCACCAAAATTTCCCGCCGTACCCCTCGCGAAGTCAGTCTAGAGGCAGGGATTATCCTATAGTTGCTGTACACATACATTAATGTGGCATTAGTCTCGCTTGGTTTAAACTAACTAAAGTGTGAGTAGTCTAGAGCACTCAGTAACGCGGAATGGTTAGATGTTAAAAAAATGAAAAGGAAAAACAAGAACAAAACTTTTAAATAGCCTAGCCTCCCTCGATTCTGCCACAGCTCAGTGGCAGAGCGTCCAACGGTCGTAGTTTCGAAACGGCCATAGGGAACCCTCGAAGTTCTTTTTTTATCGAGAATGTCTGAGTCATTCACTTTAACATCATCTGTCACTTAATCATGAGCATGTTCACCTCTTTCGTTAATTAATTCTTTCAAAAAGATCATTTATTTCAAGATGTTATGTAATTTTCTCAAACATCACTTTGCCTCCGGACCAGCTGACTTTTAAACAGAAATCACTCAGCACCATTGATATGTAAAGTTAGTTGATTTGTGGCATGTCGTCGAGGTGCTTTTAATTCTTCCTTCTGCGAGTTTTTACTAAACAGCCAGGTGCAAAATACGCAGGCGCAATAGCGGACGGAAATTTGATGTACTTATTTCGATGTAACTACGACTGAAAGAATGAACGTTTTAAGCAAGAGACTGGAGACAAGATTAAGTTGCGGATGGTTTCCTTTCCCTGTGTGAACATAAAATTTACTTAGAATCGGGAGAGGCAGAATACATGAAATGATAATCGAGATCCATCTGGATGAATATCAACAGAAAATAGCGGTCTCCCTATGAATGGAAGGCAACCCATTAAATCGAATGTATGAAAAACTCTGAAAATGAATCATGTCAAAGTTTTTGAAAAAAAATTTTCCTTTTCGATTAGAGAGCAATCATCAGCTTCATTGAATTACTTGAGATGATATCGATCGACATCCGCCGATTTTCATCGACTGGCATGAATGAAAACTGACGAGTGGCTAACGCTCGAAGCATCAGCTTCAGAAACTCTTTACGGTAGCCGATTTACATCGTCAAATCGATTGATAAAACCTGATTATCTTGTTGTATCCCTCATCGACACGGCACAACAGATTCTTTAGAAACTTACCCCCAAAAATGATATAGGTCATTTGAACACAGTAGTGAGTGAGCCTTCAATAAAAAGTGTGATAGTTTTGAGCATTTGAGTCATGAAAATAAGCGGCGAAGCCGTGGGAGGAATGGAAATGAGTAGGAAGATTCGTCACTCATAGTAACGCCCGACATTTTCAACAAGCCCCCGAATAAACCTTCGGCTACGCCGGCCAAATACAAATCATCCTAGCATCAAGGGAGTCAGAAATACCTACCATTCAGGTAGAATTACGTTGCGACACTTTTTGTTGAGGTTTACCTTACACTGGGGAATTAATCAGGCAAACAGATGATCATAAGTGAATTTCCTTACCATGCAATTAATCCAAATGCACCATCTTCCTTTACATCCTTACTGCGCATAACTAATCTCTGTTTCTAAGATGAAGTGTTAAGTGTCACCCGAATTGGTTTGTTCCACTTTGATACTAATATTTTATACCGACGTTATCAAGGCCATATTCAGTTTGCCAGTTAGAGTGAAAAGGCTATACATAACTATATCCTTACTGTAATATATAGATTTAGCCAAGCCTAAAAGCGGAGCTCGACTAAATTTATGAAACATTACCAGTGTAATTGATATTGAAGGACTGGACTTCTTATCGATGGACGCAAGACCTCTTTATTAATTATTCAAACTAGTGCAACATCAAGACAAGCGACTAGGTCCTGTTTGTGATGGGAAAAAAGATTGAGGGTACTCTTTAATTTGGCAACCAATATAGGATTTTTGGTTATGTTTTTGAAAAATGCCAAGTGAGTTACTCATCATCAAAAATAGGAAATTGGAGCAAGTTAAAACTTATGAGGTTTTTAACAATTTACCGAAATGACATTGCGAATCGGAGAGAGAAGTAACCAGTATAAAATGAATTTCTATTCTAAAACGGCTTTATTTCCTGCAAACTTTAAATATTTATAATGAATATACCTTAATTTTATGGTAAAAGAAAGATATGAATTAAGCCTTCAGACGACCAGAGTCAGTCTGTGGTTAACCACTCTCGCCGATTGATGATTAAGAAGAAAACTAATCATTCTTCTTTTGCTTCATCCTCTCAACTGCACAGAAAATCATTCATTTCTAACTCATTATGGTAATATGAATGTAATATGTTTTTTATTAAACCATTCACCTGTGATAAAGTCAGAGCATCGAAAGGACAAAAAAAAATTTTTCACAGCTACCAAATACGAGAGAATTACTGTGAGATCTCTAAATTATCAGCGCGATAAAAGATATTTGTCTGAGAAATATATAGGACACCAGTGATCAAAAGAAGTATTAATGATTCGGTGAATTTAGACCTATGTTCAGAGCCATTTGAAAAGACACCTGTATAACATGTAATTAACCTAAGAAAAACAAGCTAATGTTTTCCTTTGAGATCATCAGTTTTTAACAAGGCTATTCAACAACCAAGTATTTGAAGCAGGTGATGTTGGTTTGTTCATGCGCATTCAATTTACACCAGGCTAGTTATGAGTAGTACGAGGTTGAAGTCAGTTCAAATATAGCACACCCACAACACCGCTACCTTCACTTCTTCTCAACAGCTTTCCTTATAGGATGAACCTTCGCGTTTTTTTCTGTGTAACGGTCATTTTTGCTGCGGTTCTTGGCCATGTGACCGCGATGTCTGTGCGTGAAGCAAACGGGCCATGGCGAAGAAATGAAGGCAAGTTATTGTTTAAGTTGTATAAATTTCAAGGTTGGGGGCACGCTTATTTTCAAAAAAAAAAGTTGGTAAATCGACTCCTAAATTCACAAAGATATCGTTGTTGTTCCAACAAAGAAAAAAGGATCATTGGAAATCTTAGGTGTGGTAAATTACAAGATACGAAATACAGATCCAAATTGATAGCAGTTACTCTAACATCGCGGATCGGTGTGTCCAAAAAAACATTTTGCATTTATGAATATTCAAAGTGGAAATTCTTCAATTTGCTCGCAAGTAAGTTCCTTCAAATTTATGAATGTCTTTTATTGTAAAGCTTTGATCGGTGAAAATATCTATATCTATTTAGGTTGTTGATTTTTCTTTAATTTTTCCCGATAAGAAAAGAAAAAATGTGTTTGTCTTCTGGCCCTATTTCTACGACTACTGAATCTCACTGTCTCATTGATGTGATCTCATTTCTTCCTCTTTATATCAATTTAGTAGGAGACTTGGATCTAGGGAAAAGAGGTTAGTAAGAGTTAAGACGTTCGCATTTTATTTTCTGTGAGGTAGTTTCCAAAGTGTTTATAGTCAAGTTTGCTCCAGCGTCTCGACCATGATATCAGTATTTTCATTGCCATACAATACTATATTTAATTGTGGTAGTTTTATTGCAATATCGTGGTGAAGTAAATGAAAAGACTGAAAAAACATCCCAACCAAGTTTTATTGTCATGAAAATATTAATTGGCCTCGTTAAGGCGTAAAAGGGGCAGCATAATTTCCCATTGGAGCGGAGATTCAGCTTGTTAATAAGCTTTTACTTCTAATTTGTGAAGCGATTCTCCACGACGGCGTCAATTGAAGTAATTCATCAAAAGAGATTATTGATAGTGTGCATGTTTTTAAAATTTTTAACGAATGATTTCCAGCCTGTCGGGATCGGTATCCAATTTGCAAGCAACCTAGGTATGCCAAGATCTGTAGCCAGAGGAACAATCCGAGTCACGCTTTCGTTCAGATTCGATGTCGCAGAACATGTGGGCTTTGCGGATGAGGTAAGAGAATCGCGAATTAATAACACATTACCATCTCTGTGGAAAAAGTCTGCGGTCATATAATCATATTACCTCAGCGTCATCGTAAAGCGGCGTCTTTCCGAATTTGATATCAAGCAGCGGTCTCTACGCCGGCCGGCGCCATCATATTTCCCCAATCTGGTCACCGACATTGAGAGGAGAACCCAGTTACTGGAGGCAGAGAAAGCCATTTTATCTTAGGCTATAGGAGGGAACAAAACATTCGTTAGATTTTCCTGTATAATGGAGCTGCAGGTGAAATAAATGTGTTTCTGTTTCATCTTTAGGTAAACTGTGAGCTCATCTCAAGACAAGAAAGGCTTGGTGTCATGTTATGAATAGCTGAAATGTAATCAGCACTTCGCGTAGCCATTTGGATAAAAAGAATACTTATCATCTAAAATATTTCTTTAAGTTGCTCTAGGAAAACTAGTTTGAACTGTATTAAAGTACATTACCATTTGCATCACCTAAATCAATGGTCTCAATTGACTTTTATTTTTAACGATCATTTCCTAAATGTATTTTGTCTATCCTAAACCCAAATGATACTCTCCTTAAATAACAAAAGCTGAGGATGCACTCACTATTTTTGTTAACCTTATTACGGTATGCATGATAATCCTCAGCATAAAATGTATCGCGCTACCTTTACTTTTGAAAGTAGAAGAATGTTCCTGGCGGCGAGGTCGAGGTATGGTGGCACTTGGGTGAATAATCATGAATGATAATACGGAGCTTTCGCTCGCTCCCTCAAAAGGATGTTTTGTCTAGTTTTACTTACGTTCTATGCCCTCTGGATGTTTCAATTGTTTGATTAAAAAAGCTGTTTTAACTTTAACACCCACAGCCATTCCCTTTTAATATCTAAGTTGTCTTACCAAGAACTCCTCACTGAGAAAAACACCACCCTCGCACAACAACGACATTAGAAAAATAGAATTCGAGCAGAAAAATTGACAGGGCTCTTCTCAACGGGCTATGGATGTCTTTCTATTTTGAGACTGACTAAAAATATAACCCGAATACTATAAAATATGTATGTAAGAGATAAAGAGAAATACAGATATGGAGAAGTGGTTCCTATTTGCTCAGGTGATAATAAGCTTTCGATAGCCTTTCTCTCATGCGTCAAAGATAACGACAAAGAAAGATGTGGGTTAACATTTATTAGGAAAGCGAATGGTAATAAAGAATTCAACTTTTTATGCGCATCCTTAAATTTTTTGGCACGTCAGTAGTGGGTAGAAATTCTAAGCTTAAAAAAGATGGCGATGAAACTCAAATGGGTTTAACTAGCTTCTTCCTGAATTTTCTCAACTGAACCGTTCTTGCTCGAGAAGCATTATGGGACATCCGATAGAGTACTTAAACGCCATGACAATTAGCTTGTTGATAAAACTACTCTAGAAGATGTAGTTTAGTGCCTGGGGATTACCAATAGGAAAAACAAGGACAGGTAGACGCCTTTGACGCATTTAGCATATGCGTTATAACCAAGTGCAAGCTGTGAGGTCGAGATAATTGAAAATTGGCTGAGTTTTCAACCTTTCCTTTTTTTGCGTTTGATGACGATGAGCGATTTTCTTATGGGAAAAAAACTGAATGAATTCGTGTTTCCTTCTTTTGACCCACTGTCTATATGTATTTGCGATGCGATTGCCATGGAAACTTCTGATGAACTAATTTGTTTATTACTTCAGATGGAGTTTTCTAGAAGGTTAGGAAGTCTGTTCTGAACCGGCTGCAAATAATGTTTTGTTCGGCAGGATCAAGCGGCCAATGTCAATCAATCTCACCCACTCGTACAGGCGGAGTTAGCCCCATATAGAAAGGGAAGTTTACATCTAATGCGCTCGCCATGCCTGAATATTTCTTTAAACAAACATTATTATGTAGATTAGACTGATAATAAGTTACACGCTTCCCCTTTACACAACCGAATCGATTGTATGTGAAAAGAAATTCTTAAAAACTCTTTCGTTTTTTTCATCAAAATATTAGAAGAATCGGCTGTGGAAATAACTTGGCGAAGATGAAAATTTGAAAAGGGAGTCGCTGCGCAACCCAAAAAAATATTAACACCATATTCCTTATGTTTTGTCTACTTCCACTCGCAACACACACGCTCAGGGGTTCAATTCTATATATTCAGTGTACATAGTGAGGGTAAGCAATAACAAAAGGCATGAACCACTTTAATTCAGAGAGTAACAATGAGAATTTGAATTTCCGGACTGCAAAGACGCTTTATCGACAAAAACTAAATTTTCCTTTTTTGAAAGATTTACTCGATAGATAATGGAAACAGACCTTTAGTCAACAGTTGGAGATGTTTGAATTAAAATAACAAAAAGAACTGTTCTTAAAGTTTATAAACAGACATGGCCAGGCTCGTTCCCCGTTGTCTTGTAAAACGGGAAGTTTACCGTAAAGTTAACACTCTCTATGTTTCCCGACAAAGGCGTTGTCAAAATGATGTGAAAAATGCGAAAAGAAGGCTGATAACAAACGATGGTGGTTATCCTGTAGAAATTAAATCGGCGAACAATCAAACGCTTCAAGACAGCGCAAAACAAATTGAAACTCAAATTCTCAGCGGGAATTTAAACCGCTTGTGAACGCATTTTTTTCAGAGCGTACAAAAATTATTACAATAATGATAATAAACATCTTCGGCCCACGCACGCGATGATTCTATTGGTATGTAAAACGATAGGAAAACATATTATTTGGGCTATAGATAGACATCTCTGGTTTTTTTTCATTTTTCTATACAGCCCTTGAAATTGTCGAAGTGATGTTTTTAACAACTTTGATTTTGATGCTGTCCTGTTTGCACCAGATGTTCGCGAAATAATTAACATAGTAGCCAGTAATTAGTCTTTTTACCTTTAGAGCCCTGCAGTCAATATACAAACTCTTGTTGTTGATCTTTACTCATGCATTGCTTATTGTACCTTTTTGGTAATTTACGCCTCAAAAACTTTCTTTGATGTCGAACCGCGCCTATATCTCATCTTTTTATCACGTTTACGGTTCGTTATAGCAATTATAATTTTACCTTGATCGTGACTGGTTGAGCTTAAATCAGGTAGATAATCAGAATTGTTTTGAATCTCAAGCCGTACACTTTCAGCAGGAGACGACACCAGTTGCGAACTGTAAATCTGAACACAGATATAATCTTTCCAATTAACTACATACCTGCAGTACTCTCACGATACACTTCACCACTCCTGCTCTGGCAAAGTTGCGTACTCCGTTCAGGTGCCTGTAATAAAGATGAAAAGCCAAATAATTATTTGCGTTTTCATCTTGTTTGTGATCTCTGTGATGGATACAGTTGACAGTTCTTCAATAACACAAGAATTGAACGAAGGTACGATCATAAATTCATTTTATTAAACTAATGCCATGAGGTTTGAAAATATAGAAAGTTCTTCGTTAATTACAAGTGAGGTGATAAGCTACGCAATCCACTGAAACAGGATCACATTTCTCTGTTTGAAATTTACTGAAACACCCTTTGGATTAGTTTTAGGGAAGAGAAAATCCGGCTAATGGTGGAATATTCGAAATTTTTTTTGTGGTATAAATTTTTAATCAGAGAGTAAAACTGACGTGACTCCACCTAATTCTACGATTTCCCATGTAAAGTTTTAATTGATTTTCAGTTCGATATCTTGACACATTTTCTGGCTTCAGTCTACTTCTCTGTCATTCATTACAAAGTTTTTATTCAAACAAATTAAAATTGCCGTCATCAACGAGGGATGCGTAGCCTGATTCTGTAGACTATAAATTAGAGATTGGAGTGGAGATTCCTGTGAAATCGAACAACTCAAAACAGAAATGTAGCCTTCACAAAGTGCGTTGATTATGACCTGTGCTTCAACTTGGGGATTCGATGATCGAGAAAAGATAGAAATTCAAATTCGTGTTTTCTCCTTCATCACATAACTAAATAGGAACAGCTTCAGCCATGATCAGGCAATTCGCGAATTAAAGTTACCCCACCGATGTAGTTTTAAACTGGAGTAGTCGTTTGATATCACAAACGACCCTCACAACAGAGCAAGAGTTACTCAATAATTTATGTCAAACCCTATTGCGGCTTTTTCCGCTTATCTTTCAGGGGAAAGTTGGCTGTCAAAACGTGGCAGAGGTGAGATGTAACTTTGACCATCTTCTTACTTAATGTAATAGACCTTGTCATGGAAAGGTAATGTCAGAATGCGCTGAGGAAAAAAAGGGGCAGAGGGTGTATAAATCTATCAGGATAAGTAATTTGCTCTCAGTTTCTTTGTATGTGCTAATGGATTAACGGAGATTTCTCTAAGGTATGCTCACAACACCATACTCCCCTAAAATTCATCTTATTCCACTTATTTGCTCGATCAAAAATTTAAATGTGGAGAACTTAGAAAAAAAGAGATCTGTATTTAAAAAAGTACTATATATTTGTCGACCACCATGCTGAATTCTCCAAGATCATCTTTCAGAATAAATGTTGGAGTGATTGTGTGCACAAATTGACATTTTGCTATCATGATCAATTATAGGAAAAGTTTGAACCGATGAGGATTTGTTTATTTTTTTAATCTACCTTTCGCAAATTTAGTTCCCTGATGCCAGAACTTGTTAATATCTCGATCGAGTTCTAGAAAAGTTTATCATGAATGTCAGTCGAGCGACTGCCTGGGTAATCATCCTGAAAAATTCGTTATTTTTCAGGATTATTTTTCTAATATTTGTCCGTAATGTCTGGCATCGCTGAGACCACTTTTTTTCCGAAAGAAGGTACCAGAAAAGAGAAAAAAAAAAAAATGAAGCCCAGCCACTGGCCTATCTAAGGGTGGGTTGCAAATGGCTCTGTATCTACGGATCAGGGGTGGGGAGAGTATTTTTTTTTTCTTATTTGAGTAGGGGGTTCTCTTTTCGAAGAAAATTGTACAGCGTGGTAGAGTTCTTTTTGGCCTTTGTTTTGTTTTTGTCCCACGAGTCATAGTCAGGCTCGTGCTTTGTGACAGCTCAGTTAGTGGATTAGATCACTGTGGCTGTGGTTGGGATGAGGGGAATTTTGAATTTTCAAAGTGACTTTAAGTTTGCTGTTTCCTTGAAATGATATTAAATTTTTAAGACATGACCTTCATAACCACTAAAGAGTTATACAGAATAAATCTTACCTTTGTTCTCCACACACGTCAAAGAAACAGGAAATTTCTCTTCGAGAAATGAAGACTACTTGCCTTCCCAACCCATGGCGATGTTATGGGATCCAACATCACTAATGAAAACTGATGATCCAGAGCACAATTCAGCTTACAGCTGCACAAACATAAACTATACAGTAACATTGCTACTCTTCCTGAATGGGATTTTAGCCCTCCCCCCTCCACCAGCTCTATAGTTATTCAAGCTAATGCTCATGTTGACACACCTCTCTCAAGCAAGGCGAGCCTGATTCTTTTTCTCTAATTTTTACTCGCAAATTAAACCTCTTAACCTCGTTCTAGGATGAAATATGTGTTATTTTATACAATTTCTAAAAGACAGGAAAGCTTATTTACACTCACACACAAGGGCAACATCTAATCTTTGTTTTTTTTGAGGTGCGGGTTTTGGAGATCACTGTACCTTAAGATTTTCTCTAAAGTGGGTTCAATGTTTCTCCACTGTTGTTCACTGCCTCCTTTACAATAACAACAAATAAATATGCATTTGGTTAAAATGAAAATGGTATGGAACGCTATTTTGCCAAACGACGGCTAAATGATACTTTGTTTAAACAACCGACCCTCCTCCAGAGAAAAGTAAATCAATGACCCCTTTCAGGGCTCTCTCCCTCACCTTTCGATTTAAAGTCTAATGACCATAGAGAAGCTACAGTCTCCCGCAACGAAAACTGTTTGTATTATCTGTTACAGAATGTGACCTCATACATGTAGCTAACAGTGGACTGTGGAATTAATTAAATTAACAAACGTTCCCAGATCATCTTCTTCCTTCGGGTTTAACGTAGCTGACTCGTGTGTTCTTTGTGTAATTCATTTTTATTCCATCCTATCCCATCACGACGGAAGGAGCGAATTTAACGTTGTCGATATTTTTAAAACATTTATTTGCAGTATGCCGAGATCTTAAACCCAAAAGATGTAAAGGGAAGCGATTGAAGTGTCTTCACAAAAATTCGAAGTACTCTCTTATAATTCGAATGACATGCCCCAAAACCTGTGGACGTTGTTCCTAAGGTAGGTAAAATTACAGGCTTCTTACTTTAAATATAATTGCCGTATTAAACCTCAGATATATGGAACGTGATGCTGCGTTCTGCCGATTTGCTGGTAGGTCACGTTAATCTCGAGGTATAATGAACACAAAATTAGGACTGTTAGAACTAAACACACTTTCATCGAAAGTTTTTTTTCATAACGCAAGGAGTTCTTGAAACAACACCAAAGTGCCAAAAAATGTGCCTTTTAAGCTCAAGAGACTTACGGTGACTTTCCGAATGAGGAAAATGGTTTATAAGAAGAAGGAAACCTTAAAATCCATAGCTCTCAAAACAAGATGAAATAAACAACCTTCCTTTTCAATAAGCACAGCTTAATTGTTTACTTTTTTTCTCACTCACCTGTTTCTACATGGAACTTAAAATGTGCAGGGAGCCGATGAGGGAATCGTAGTTAACTTAGCTTTCTGGTTCACAACTTAACGTTTCTATTTTAATAATAATAAATAATCTTTATCAATTGACAATATTGCAAAATCAGGTAACTATTGAAATCTTTATGACATCCATTTTAAGATCACATGTGATCCTTACAATCTGATTGGCTCTCATTGGTGCAATTTATTTACGAATCGGACCAGTTTTTGTCCTAAATATCATTTTTTCCCCATGTGGAACCTCTACTAAAACACAACAACAAATCAGATTTCAAGGCTTGTTTAAAGTAACCTTCCAAGCTAGAGGAAAGCGAAAGACAACTTTTGCAACTGTTAACAAACCAGCTCAGTATTGGACCACTTAAATATTTGTACATGCTAAAAAGTCTTGTATTTGAGGGATTGAATTTTGGAGTATCAAAATGGATGTAATAAAGTGGTAATTGAACTTCGTGTTGTGCAATTTTGGTCTGAAATCATACTTGTGATTACAATTAAACTCGCGCTGCGCGCTCGTTCAATGTAGAAATCACTTGTAGGATTTCAGACCTAATAATACACGTGCAAAAATTTCATTGGCTGAGAACACGTCAATTAATCCTAAACAGTACAGAAAGTTGAAATTAAACTGATTGTCGGGTAACTCGCAGAAGAACATCAAAACAAAATGGCGGATAGGACAGGAGAAAGTAAGAAGGGTTTAACTCAGAGTTTGAGGGAGAATGCTAAAACAAAACCAATCAACAAAGAAAAAACAATTGGCTAAAAGTCTGGCTTCCAAAAGTGGATATCAAAGTATGAACCAGAGGCCCTGAAAAAAATTCTCGAGGAGTTTTACGCGACAGTTCGCACAAAAGACGGGGAAATTTAGGAGCGTGATAGCTTTCGTGTAATGGTTACTGTTGTCGACCGATAGTTAGCAGAGAAAGAATACAGACGCTCAATTATTCTCGAGAGGGGTTTTAAAAGTTTAAAGCAGATTCTTGGAGAAAAAGCCCGATTACTCCGGCAACAAGGTAAATCAAAGGCAAGTGGCCGAACTAGTGAGATACGGCACGAAATAAGGACAAATAAAAATAAAAACAGAGCCATACTATCAATTAGTAATCACGTGATTTTTCTCGTCCGTAAATCGCGGGATAAATCAGCACCCGTAAAATTTTCAAAGACTTCTAATACAGGCCCGTGCAATTTGGTTAGCCATTTAAAAATTTACTCGTGCCTTTTATCTTAAATTGCACTCGACATCTTGTGATTACTTGTACAAATTATACTCCGCTCAGCTCAATTACCATCATAAATTAATGGTGTTGAATAAATAGGACGTTGTTGAGAGGCTGGCAGGAGACAAAAATCAAACACATGCACGAAAGAGAGAATTAGTCAAGAAATGTTGAAGAAGGATAGCCTACAAAAAACATTGCAAAATCTAGTGCCAGGATACACAATAGAATTAGTTACCGTGACCTTGTCCCTTGCGTGTCCTTGATGGGTTCGAGATGATTCTGGACCATTGAATAGTTTCGTGCATGTTAAGTATCTATCAGAGCACCTCCATATATATAAGTGGCGTGAAATGCCACTTGGTATTAATAAATTTACTGACAAGGCCCGGGTCGCAATGTGTAGCGCTTTTTTTGTGTGTTTAAGTCTGAAAATCTGTCAACAAAATAGCGTAAACTAAGTGCGACCAGGAGCCCAGGAAAAACTTACCAACCTGTTCGCCAATTTTAAAGGACCCGATGTCCTGCCTTGAAGGCAAAATAAACATTCATGTTTTTTAACCATTTAGCTGCCATGATATGCAAGATGTGTGTGGATGAAATTTGGAAATTGCTCAAAATTTTGCCACTTTTTGGTTTGCGAACTGAAAAATCGGAAAATATTTGAATTCGATCTAGTGCGACCCGACACAAAGTCCGGTTTTAATTATTTGATTCGCTACAAGTTAAATGGACAATTGACGAAATAATAAATATAACCATTCCATTTGTGTTCAGTTAACTTGGATCTCTGCTTAGGGAATGTTTTTCGGAGAAAGAAATTGGGGAGTTTTATTATATTACTTATTTTTTATACGGCTAAGAGAGAACAAGTTCAGACGGCCGTTATGGCTAATGAAATTTTATCTTATCTTCAGAAACAGCCCAAGACTGCAAGATTTTGAAAGAAGAAAGGGCGACCTGAATGCTGCATATTTCTAATCTATAACCTCACTAAAGAATTTGTTGTGTAAAATTCCCACCTACTATACTTTTAATTTCAAAATTATTGAGTCAGGTACCGTCACAGATTATGCCACACGCAATTTATTAAAATGCATATTAAACCAAAGTATTGATCATATTTTTTGTCTCGCGTAAAAAGTCCTAACTACTAGTAACTACTAATAACGCTTTCATGGCAAAATTTTCTCGTATTTACAAAACAAACTCCAATTTTGCTATGGGTTCAACAGTAGGTTTGTACCAATTAGGGCGCTCATAGTGTCTAGTTATTTTCTGAAAAGAAAAAGTAAACGACGAAGGATATGGTTACTCTCGCATTTTCCGTGCTCTGGACATTTGCACACAGTCTTGAAACTGTCTGTCTGGACCGTAAAAAAAGGTACCGGAATAACTACTGAGACAAGTCACCGCCAGTTAAAATTGCCTCAACCAGTAATAAACTGGTGCCGCTTCACGCTGCCGGTTTGGATAATCGGTAACAAGGTTGATGCTTGAATTAATACTCCCTTGCCTCATCAACTACCACTTAGGGAGATAATTTTTAGCGAAAATTTGATTCACATGGGGTATAACTACTCAGGTAAGCTCTTCAGTTGCGAGTTTTACCAAAGTAGAATTTTAATCCCAATTGATATTTGAAATAAGTGATGTCAGTTGACTTGTGGCTGGAAAGGTGGCAAATTAATTCTCGTTGGAAAAGTGAAATAACAATTCCGTGAGGCACAGCTCGAAAAAATAAGGCTTGGAAGAGCTTTTTGGGAAAAGATTTAGAGGCACATCGATTCCAAGTATCTTGATAACCAATACAAGAATATTTCCAACTTCCGATCTGACAACTGCGACACTTCAGAAGTACATTAAAAATTGTCAGCCAAATTTGCATACATTGTAGACAAGAAAAGCTATCTTAAAAATAAAGTTTTGTGTATCACCAATCATAATACGTATAAGCTACATGTATTCATGACGGGGATTAGTGAAGAACATGGACAATGAAGTAACTAAGAGCATATTTGATGCGCACTGGAGAGACTATCACAGTTGTTGAGAACAATCGGATTATATACTCACGTTCGAAATGGCCAACAACTGGAAAACTGCCTGTATTTGACAGTTCCGTGCGCACCTGAGATTTAGTATCACCGCCCACCAAATGATGTTTTATGTAAATGAACTCATAACAACTTAACACGGCTAAAATATAAAGCACACCTGACTTAGATGAGGTTTTATGGTTTTTGTTCCTCAATTTTCTAAGGTCAAGATGATCTTTTTCTTTCTCGATTCGCGAAGAAAGGATGTGAGATGGCAGACTTAGGTTGAGACAGATCGGCGTTAGAATCGATCAAAGGCCATCTTTAATGGAAGTTTATGCCTCATATTTACACAATATAATTATTTGAGACGTGTATGTAAATATGGTTTGAATAAGGTGTTAGCTTAAACCATTGGACTATAAAGATGTCTTTCTTTCCAGAACTGTAGTTCATCACGAGTTGATATATCGTGCGGCAGAGCATAAAGTACTTAGACACTTCTCAAACAAAAACTAAGGTAGGTGATGATTTGCGCAGTGTAATTAAAATAAAAGTCTAAATGGACTCGTGAAAGTAAGCATGCACAACATGACGTAGAAATGTTAATTCCTCTTTATATAGCACAATGTTATACCAAACGAGTGCGAAAAGCAAAACTCTACTTTTAAATTGGCAGCCTGTTAATTACGTCTCGTTCTCAAGTTCAGCTTTGGGAGTTCCCCGAAGACATTGGGAAAAAAAACGTAATCTTATTCAGGCCATAAGCTGCTCTGTACCAAATAGTGCTATATTACCTATCTCGTATCTCATAATTGGAAAAAATACAGATCATCCAAGATGCAATGTTTAAAGAACTTTGCGTCCTAAATCAATAACGACTATTTTTTAATATTTTTCTTGAGTTTTTATATCACTCTTTAAACATGTAGAGATCTATCAAAATTTTTAGTGCAACTATTTTTTTTTCGTAAATGGTCATCGTCTGTCTAACAAAGAGAAGATTCACATTACAATAAACTCCAAAATACCCCATTTTCAAATCGTGTTAAGAATGAAAAGTATAGAAAATTGAGCTTGAGAAATTCCTTATTATTCGTGCAGTGTTTTCGGCTTATTACAAATATTCAATACTTCTTAGGGGATTAAGAGGAACAGCCAATTGGTACGCGATGAGACTTAATAATTTGCATATCCTTATTAGGCATGTAAATTTTCGTCAAGCACGGGGCAGTGTAAGCCTATGATCGCTTTAGCTGGAGCGTAAAAGAAAACACGAAATAAAAATGACCAATTTCAGCGTGTCTGCGATGGAGGCATCAAGAAACTCAGATAAACAGGAATTGTACTTCGTAGTCATCACTTGTACACTGATCGCAATACTAATTATATTGACGCTCCTCGGAAACACTTTAGTGATGGTTGCGTTTTACCTCTGTAAAGAACTGCGTACAATTACAAACTATTTCCTTGTGTCGCTGTCTCTGGCTGATTTGCTGACAGCTTTACTAGCAATGCCAATCTTTTTGGTTTCTCGAGTTACATCGGATGGTACTATGTTCCCTGGAGGAGCCGTATTCTACGATGTTTGGCGATCAATAGATATCCTTTGTGGCACGGCATCAATATGGAACCTGTGCTTGGTTAGCTTAGACAGATTTCTTGCAGTCGCATCCCCGCTTAAACACTTAGTGATACTCACGCCAACTCGAGCTAAGGGAGTCATTGTACTTGTTTGGGCAACCTCTATCGGTCTCTCTGGAATTCTCCACGTAAACTGGAACTACAAAGGAGTGTTTATCACCATTATCAGCTTTTTCCTACCACTTATAATAATCATTTTTTCCTACGCCAAGATTTACCAGGTCACCACAAGAACTTGCGTCTTACGGCGTAGTGGGGGTATGCAACTTAAAAGAGATATTCGCTCGGCTAAACAAATGGTTCTGGTTATCGGAATGTTTATTCTATGTTGGGTCGGGTTTTTTGTCTTGACACTTATCCTTTCCACGAAACGATCCACTTCTTCTTCGATAAATCCTGGCGTCTTGGACTTTGTTAAGTCTCTAACCTACCTGAACTCATGTATCAATCCTCTTTTATTTATTATGGTCAGTAGAACTTTTAAGAAAGCTATTCTCGATATTCTTCGTTGTAGGAGACCGCGTGTAACGCAGGAAAGATGTAAGTTATTTGGAAGAAGACAAAAACGTTTTGGGTCATCTTTAGTTTCGTCGTTTTCAAGACGGTCGTCTGCTAGTTACAGACAAAATTCAGACACTGCAGGGCCATGTTGTCGAAAGGTTGTTACGTACGTTGAGAAAGAAACATGTGTTTAGCATAACTGAAATATTTATAATAAGTGAAAACACATTGCGTTTACACCCTAATAAAATTGAATGGATTTCTCACCCTGGTCTCGTGTTTTAAAAGAACAACTGGTGTTGTTGCGAGTATCTCAGTTTTTAAATTTATTGACGCTATTGTTCTATGAGGTCGAGACTTCATAAAGCTTATCGAAGCTTAAAACAATTTTGTCACTTTTCGTGTGGTAATTTTTATGAAGAATAAAGCAAATCACGTATTTTCTTTTTTGTGGTCATGATTCCGTCACGGAATATCAGAAAACAGAGGCCCATAAATGGTAAACTTTGGCAAGCTTGGTAGAAAATTTTTACCATTTGAGAAGAGAGACAAAGCGAAAAATACAACAATGAAGATTAACTTTGGTGCATGTTTTACAGAATATTCTACTGTCTGACAGAATATTCATTTCCATATTGAGAGCATTATGAAGTGTTTGACGACTAAGAAACCAAAAGGTAATGAATGAAAACTGATTGTTTACTTCTAAAGTTGCTTGCCTGTGACATCATTACAATAAAAGCGCGAAATTGTGTTAATTTTGTCAATATGCCACTCTAATAAAGGGAATCTTGGAAACCAAAAACCATTGGGTGGCAGCTCATCCATATTCATTCTTTTCTTTTCCATTAAACCTTTTTCTTCCTTCGCTTATTCAGTTTTACATCAACATTTCAACTGCTTATATTTCAATATTATTTGAATGCCAGTGTATAGAGCACCTGTGAAGGTCGACTTTCAGTGTAATTTTAAAATGTATTTTCTTTTCATGCCGTTGAACAATTGTGCGGAAAGGATTTGCGGCAATCTAAGGCAATTTCACCGTGAATAAGCCTATCAGCTATTACCTCCTCAGCAGATGAGATTTAAGTTATCAACGAAGCGAGAAAACTTGGGCTTAATTTCCACTCATGAATTACGCGCTCATCTCGTCTGAAAATTCAAACACGGACTTGAGATTTTCCTTTCATTTAAAAAAAAGAATATCAATAAAGGTGATAATAATGAATTTAAAGAAATTTTTTTGTCTTCAAATGTTTACAAGTTGATTTTTTTAAAGATGTGAATCAAATGAATTTGAGATGTTTTGGAACCTTTTGTTTTGCTGAAAATTCAATATTTGGCTATGGTGTATTGATATATAAACTGTCAGAATATCGATTATATCTGACACACTGAGGTCAAACAATGATCTGACGAACATTTTGGCATGATAAACAAAGTTGTTCAACGGTAATCTACCGACTTGATTGCTTTCTCCGCAGTTAGTAAGGTAATTGCATGTATCATCAACTTTCTTACGCCGATAAGGTTTATCAAATAACCAGTCGGCCACGTTGCCATGGGAGACCAAGGCAAGTCATTTTCGGTAATCCAGCAGTAGGAAAAATACATAAATGAACATCTTGGGAATTATTGCTGCCCAGAATAAACGTGCTACTCCAGAAATTTTTCTAATGGGACATTTAATCTTTATTTGGTATAGAAAAGCTCCATTGAACCTGAGTTCCTTGGATTAGCTGCTAAAAATATTTATTCTGCATGAAACGACAAAAGCAATCAGCCACCTTGGTTTCTATAAATTTGAACATTTTGTATTCAATAGGAATTGTCACTCATACATACAGAGGTTTTAATCATAGAGGTCTCTATAAAATTTGATATCCTTGTTTAATTGGTATGCCATTACTTGTTTCATTATGACAGTCCTTCAAACATCAGTTTCGCTTTATCCGTGTTTCCTATCTCGTCGTGTTAGATGGCCCATGTAGTCTTGATCAAGACCTTCCATTCGTGATTCTCTCCTAATTCTCTCTCGGCAACTTGTTCTGCCTTTTTGAATAAAGTCATTGCCTCATCAAAGATTCCTTTCTTCTTGTGACAAGCTGTGTAACTCTTCAAAGTCAGGATGTTATCTTTGCTTCCATCTTCGGCAAGACCGTCGAACATTTCTATGGCTGCATTACAATACTAAAGGGAAATTTTTAAGTCGTCTTCCTTTTTTGTTTCTCCACCAAGAAAGAAACGGAGGTCTACAATGGCCTTCAGGGGTTCGGCGGTCATAAAATGTTTACCAAGGCACCATTTAAAGAGTTCTAACGCCTTTATTAGCCTTTTAGTAGCTGTATTACGCTGCTTGCCGCGTTTGGCAATGATTTCTGAAAGAAGAAGAGTTGCTGCTATTTCTGGATGACAATCGCCCTGGCTTGCACTGCTAACAGCTAGAGCTGATTGAGTCTCTTGCTCGATTATTTGGTTTTCTTTGGGATCTTTTTAATCGGAAAGTAAGCGTGCATAACTGTTATGAAAGTAAACTTTTGATAACGGATTTTCTTCAAACTTTGCAGCATTCAGGAGGTAAATTTCTTCCACTCGCTGCATACTTTCTCTGTACTTCTTTTGGCCTTTTGTCCAAGAAGACATAAAAGTTCTACAACATGTATTGGCTGAACATTTGAGTCAAATTTTTCCAGCAACTTTTCAAGGAACTGAGCGTAATTCTTTGGGTAAAGACAGAGTTTGAGAGCGTTCCATAATTTTCTTTTCCTCCCTTCCTTTGGTGTAAATGTAAACAAAATGCTCGAAATTGTTCCTTTCCTTGATGAATGTAAAAAGGGATTCTTTGCACCAGTCTCTTCTCCAGTACAATTCGGCCTTGTTCGCAAGGCCGAATTGTACTGGAGCTAAAAGCTCGGCAAGCTTAGATTGACCAATTTTCCTTGCATACGAGTGAATGAGTAGATGCATCTGAACTTTTTCTTTGATATCTTGTAATTGATCACCACGGTCGATAAAATGTTCTTCTGACCTGTCATCAGGAAGCCATAACTGGAGAGTTCAGAGACTATTCCACTCTTCTCAAGTTCTTTTTCCCTCCTCCATTGTTCGAGTTCCTCTTCAACCAAATGAGCTTTGTGATCAACAGTAGCACCCCTCAGGGACTGACATTTCTTCGATAGGCAGCAACCTCAAGTACTGCTAAAGACGAAGATATTTTGTTCCACTAGCCTTCGAATACGTCATTCGGAACTCCAATGGAAACACTGTGACTAAGTTCATTCCTACAGCATTTGATACGCAAGATGCTGACTTCAGCGCTCGCATCAACGTCTGCAGGCATTTTGTGCCATCTAGTCGAAGGAACCGACAGATGACAAACTTCACTTAAGAAGTGTAAGAGCGTGATGTCGAATTTTCGCGGATCTGGTTCACCTGAGGAAGGAAACAATTTCTCCCATTGCTCATCAAATATAAATCGCTTCCTTCTCAACCCCTCTAGCTTTGGGCGATTGTTGTCTAGTGTGTTCTGTTATGTTGACCCTGGATGCATGGAAAGCAAGAATTTCCCAGAACTTTTGTTCCTTCATCAACAAACAGTCTTGCCAGCCTTGTACCATTCGTCTTTTCTTCAGATACACCCTCTATTGAGGGTCCAGAAAGACTCGCAGACGTTGTTGAGGATGTTGTACTGGCTGACATGACTCACAATCGAAGCCTTTTTATATTGAAATTTCCATTTGAGAAGGTTAATCGATCTATGTTGTATTCAGACAACCAGGAGTCGCAATTATTAATCGATACGAAGTTTTTAACCTTTTTACAGGAAAAGCTCAAAATTCTCGGAAAGATGCAATGATAACTGAATCTGTAACTTCCAAGAAGGCTCATTTCCATTTACGCACAATGTGATGTCATAAAACTTCAACTGTCATGCGCTGTTGTTAAGCAAAATTTGCGTGGTATGTTTGCACCTGATCACTTTCCATTAAACTATTAAAATTAGAAGTGTTTGGGAACTATTAAAATTAGAAATGTTCTAACTAAGTGTTTGGGAGTTGTTTAGATAATCTTGAAATCCTCGTGCGAGTCTTGTGAACCTTGGTATGTCATGTGCAGTAAGACCACATATTCATTTTTACCTTTTGATTTGTCCTCGATCATTGTAATAGGGCTTAATTCTCGCACGATAATCGTAATATTTGGTCGTGTTTGGGTTTGTCCTTAACCTTGCTTAGAGTCCTCGAGAGGAAGTTTAGTTTAGGTTTCACTGAGTTCTCGAATATTGGTTTTTTTAAGTACTTTGTTGTTTATTTCGAATGTCTCGTGAAATTGTTTCAGTAAGGATTCAAAAATATATTTATTACTCCAAGTCAGCTGTCCCGTAAGCCCGAACATGCTTACCGTTAGGATATTGTAGGAGCGTGCACTTTGGGCTGAATTGATAGAAGAGTGACAGAGTCTCAGAGGATGAATTAAAAGTGCTTGATCAGACTTCTGGTCATGGTTCCGTTGGCGCGAGTTGCTCAAGGTAGTTAAGTTCAGCAGTCCAATAAGATGAATATAGTGACTTCCAATTGACTTGCATCTTCTTCTTTAAGCAATATTTGCTGCTTCAAGAACAAAACAATACAAGTCTGTGGTTAAAATTCTGATTTTATTATTCTTATTATTCCGGATTTTCCAAGAAACTTGGAGGAAATGTAGATAGATAAATTATGGACTTCTTTCTCGGAATCATTGCTAAGTACACTTGATATGCGATATAATTCATTTATTGTTAGCATGCGAGGGCAAGTCCCACGTCACAGTTGGATCGGAATCCCGAGTTTTTACCCGAGGTGTGCTCAGAGCTAAAATCTCGAGCTGAACGGTTTTTTTCTTCGTCGAAGTTTAAACGCTTTTATGAAATTTGAAAAACACTTCAAGAACCGTCTTTACGGAACTGAAAAGATGCTAGATGTGACCCATGATGTGAAACCAATTCACTCTGGATTTTAAAAGCGGATATACATGTTGTCTAGAAGATAATGATCTTGAAGATTCTTGGAAGCCAAGCAATTTCCACGAAATGTTCTTAATTTAACAAATGATTACACAGAGTTATCCAGAATATCGTGTTTCCAAGAAATTCACCCATTGAATTTAAGGCACTGCATTATGTGTGCCCTTTCTATTTCATGCATGATTATCATTGGAATAAGAAAAAATAACCAAGGTTCGCGATCAAAATAATCATCGTACAAATTGAAGCATTAAGGGTTTCATTTCAGTCTTCAACTTTCCCACGATAAAGTTCGGACTTGTCTACAATAAATATGGTTTTTTCGGTTTTGCTTTATAGTCTTACCGGAGTATTTCTGCAAATCTGCTCTTTTTTTAACATTCCTAGGCGTTTACGGTAACAGTTTGCACCAATATCCCATTCCTTCATTAAACTACGCCTACTCATCAAACACAGAATGTATTCGTTGATAGAATCTTTATTCACTAATTTACTTATCGTCGCTATCAGCGATTTGTAAAGATATCCATTTTCATTATTAGACTTTATTCAAGTGTATCTTCAGCAAATCAATCGAAATTTAACAGCTCTAAGCAAAAGGGAAAGACTATATCATTCTTTTCAGTATATTTTGGTACGAAAAAAAAATAATTTGCAAAATTTCGAGAAGAGGAGGACATACCTAGACTGTTAAAATAATCAAGCGGAAAGAATGTAAAAATCGCTTAATACCTTCCTAAAAAACATTTAAACATCCTGGTGAGTTTGACAGATTGCTTGTGAAAGTGATAACACGTTGATGCTTATAATCTTCGCCACATTTCTATTTGAACGAAGTGAAACAAATTTCTATAGCGAGTAACTGATTGTGCTCAAAGACATTTTTTTTCGCCTACGTCTACACTATGTATTGATCAGAGAGTTACATTTCCTAAAATCACTTTTAAAACTACCCCTCCAGCCCAAAGATAAATTATGGCCGGCTAAGTTACAAAGTGAAAAAATAATTCTGAATAGAGTGAATAAAAATATTGACACCTTTTTCATCATGCTGTCGTGAGTCTGTAAAGTAAGAGTTCACAAACAATGTCTAAATGTGGTAAAAACACGGGCGACACACTCTGTCACTTTTCGGTTTGTACACAATGGAATCTATTTGTTAAAATAATTAGCGCGAGGCATGCTGACAGAATTTGGTTATTTGCTAATCGTCGGTAATCTGCCTCTCGCTTCAGAACGATTTAATTGGTTATATTTTCATATTTGAGAAAAAAAAACTACACGGAAGTGAATTGGTTCTATTTAAGAGATCCCTATTTTCTCTTGTTGTATCGTTATATTCCCTTGTAAAATATAAAACTATTATTTTAAAGTCGATTTGCAGCGGTCGTTTCAAAGATTGGTTCCTTATCATCATAGTTTGCGCATCTCTAAGATTCACTTTAGTAGTTTTCGAGTTTTTCATAGCTATCATTTGAATTTCTCTCCATCAGTAACAACCCTTTTCCTTAGTTTTCTCAATGATTCCATCCTCTTCCAAAGCCAGCTTTCCCCTTCCAGTGGGGCTGTTGGAGTCGATGGCCTGTTCGACTGACAACACTCCCTGAAAGATTAACAGCACAGTATAAATTATGCCGTGAATCATCACAGTGCAATTTAACAAGGGTAACACTTCTCTCTAACTTATACTTTACTTAAAGCTCGACATGCCTAAATGTGTCTTCAGAAGCTTCTAAACTTAATCATAATTTCTGATTGATAGCTTGCAATCTCGTAAAGAGGTAAGAGGGATTTTTTAGGAAAATGAAGCGCGCGATTAAAAGAAGTTTCTTTTCACGTTAATTCATAAAGAATGTCGATATTCAGATCAGGTGGCTTCTACTATGGATGTTTAAGTTCTTACCCAGAGAGGAAGCTTTAAAATATAAACTATAATACGTTCCCAATTCAATTATGAGTGCTTTTAAGCTACCTCTGCAATTTTATTGAGTGTAAGGCCAAGATCCTTCCCTCCTCATATCAAACAGTGGGGATAATTTTGAAACTATCCTTCCATGGTAAGGCAGAAGCTGTAATTGCTGCTTCATATGGGACAGCTAACTAACAAGAACATCGAGCACTATATTAAACACAATATTTACTTACTTGGGAATTCAGTCTCGGGGAACTTCCCTGGATACCGGCCTAGAAATTCTCCAATCAAATTTCTTTCTCCCATCCTGTATATGGTTAGATTCAATTTCTTGCCCAGCACCAGTCCCTCGTGCATTACGTCTATCGCCCGCTCAACTTCATTCATATTCTCATGCAAGAGGGCCAGTGAAGTCTTTATAAAGACTTTCCAGGTGTGATCCTCTTCTAATTCTCGTTCTGCAATTTGCTCTGCTTTCGAGAGTAGATTCATTGCCTCGTCAAAGTTCCCACTTTTCATGTGACACAATCCAAAATTCTTTATCGTCAAGATGCTTTCTTTGCTTTCACCCACTCCTAGGTCGTCGAACATTTCCAAAGCAGCTTTATAATACTTAAGGCAGATTTCAAAGTCGACTTCGGACTTTCCATCAAGAAAGAAGTAAAGGTCTCCAATGGCCTTCAGGGTTTCAGCAGTCATAAAATGTTGCCCAAGGCTCTTTTGAAAGAGTTCCAACGCTTCTTGGAGCATTTCTTTGGCTGCATCGAACTGCTTACTGCGCTTTGTAATATTTCCTGAAAGGAGGAGAGTAGCTGCTCTTTCCGGGTGATCATGAAGCAGTTCACTGGATATTTTCACAGCTAGTGCAGCCTCCTTTTCAGTCCGTCTGTTCACTCTAACATCTTTTTTATCAGAAAAGAAGCGAGCATTGCTGTTGTGAAAATAGACTTCTGATAACGGTTTCATCGCAAATGCAGCATCACTCACCAAACGAATTTGTTGCGCTTCATCCATGACCTCTTTGTACTTCTCTTGTTCTCCTTTTTTCCTGTATTCATGACCAAGAAGACACAAAAGATCTACTACACACACTGGTTGGATTCCAGAGTCAAAAGTTTTCAATAATCTTTCAAGGAGCTCAGTGTAGAACCTTGGATGAAGACATCTTTCCAAATACATGCATTTCTGAGGGAAACTGTCCAAAAGGAGTTCACAGCCGTTCACGATCTTTGTATCTTGTTCTTCCCTACCTCGAGCGTAAATTTGAAGAAAATGTTCGAAATTGTACTTGTCTTCTTTAAATGATGCAAGGGAATCCTTGCATGTGTCCTTACTCCAGTAAATATTAGCATTCTTCGCGAGGCGCGACATGAAGTGTACACAAGCCAGTTTTCCGCCCATTGCCAAAAGTTTGTCATACTTATCTCGACCCATCTTCTTTGCGTATGACTGAATGAGCGGATGCATCTGATATCTGCGCGAATAGAGCTTCTCCACAAGAGATCTGTTTTTTAAGGAGCGCAGGATGGTGATAGGTAAAGCGCCGGAGCTCGAGATCGAACATTCCGCCTGCGTCACAGCTTGGACTGCATCTAGATCAAATGAACCTTGGAACAAAGATAGGAGAATGAAAGCTTCTTGTTCGAGTTTCGTCAAAAGGTCAAAGGAAGTCTTTATGGCCTTTTCAACATATCCTTGGTCGTCCTCTAAAACCGCTAATTGTTCCTTTTCGAGGCTCTCTATGAGTGTTTCTTCAGAATAGTCTAATAGCAAGGATCCAGCAATGTAAAGTGCCATAGGAACGCAGCCACATAGATTTCTGGCGATGTATTCTGCCCTGCAAAGGTTCTGCGGGGCATCTTCATAGACTTGCACCCTAGAAATAAGGAGATTTCTTGCCTGTTCGGCGGACAAAGGGCCCAACCTGACTTCGCAAGACTGCAAGTCAGGATTCTCAAATGTTTTCCTTGCAGTTACGACAAATGTTACCTTTTGCCTCGATAACCTTCTTACGTCAGATAAGATGCTTATAAATGATTCTCGATCGCTCGACTCGAGGACGCTATCTGCATTGTCAAGAACAAACGTGACCTGGTTTCGAACTCGTTTGCTCCAGTCTCTTAGCCACTGTCCCGGATTCTCTGGTACTTGCCTGCTGATTGTACCACACGAGTTAATTATTTCTTCGGCCACTTCTTTGAAATTTTTCTTCGTTAGTAAACTACAAAACAACACAGTTGCTTCCTTCTCTGATTTGGCTAATTCATGAGCCACTCTTTCAGCCACAGTCGTCTTTCCAAATCCAGGTCCACCAGTAACCAGGACAACAGCGACGTCTCCACCCACGGCCATTTTCTTGACACGCTCTATTTCTTGGTTGCGGCCAAATACACGTTTTTCAGGTATTCTGTCCGGTAGACAGCTGCGAGGGCTAAAACTTGACGAGTGAATCCTTTCTTGTTCCTGTATTTTGTTCCATTCTTTTGCTAGTTCCTCCAAATGTAGCTTTGTATCGTAACCAGTGGGATCATTCTTCAGCGCCTCCATTTCCACTTCGTGCCTCTTTCGTAGAACATAAATATCAATTGCCTCTAACAACGATGCAATCTCCTTCCACTTGTACTCGAATTCGGCGTTTGGAATTCCGGTAGAGAAGCTGTGAAAAAGCTCATTTCGGAAATATTTGATGCGAGTTATGTTTGCTTCGAGACTATTATCATCTTCTGCAGGCATGTTGTGCCATCCCGTCGAAGGCGCCGTAAGATGGCAAATTTCACGAAGTAATAGATGTAAAAGTGTAATGTCGAACGTTTTCGAGTCCGGTGGATCGCCTGAGGCAGGAAATAACATTTCCCACTGGTTTTCAAATATTACATCTTCGGACCTTAGCCGTTGAAGCTTTTTCTTATTATTGTTTAATACGACTTGTAATTTATCCATTGGGTAGACAGAGTGCAATAAATTGCGTAGGACGTGTCTTCCTCTGTCAACCAGCAGCCGTAATAGCTTCGTGCCATTCGTTTTCTCCTCTGATACATTTAGCACAGAAGATCCAGAAGAAACAGGAGAAGAGGCTGCGCCAGGCATTATCTTTTCTGTTTTAACTCGAGAGATGGAAAAGTCTTGTGGAAATTTCGTTTGAAAAATGGAACGGAATAAGCTTACCTCACCGATGCGTGCGTGCGTTTGTTGAACTCACGATCGCAATAAAGCTCTTTAAAAACAAATTCCTTTTGAGAAGGATAGGGACGTTAGCTTGTCTTCAGATAACCACGAATTGCGATTTTCAATTGACACGAGTTTTATAACCAGTCAACAGGGAAATTTCCCACCAAGTTCTAGGAAATACTCGATGAAGAATAAATTTCCCCTATTTCCGAGAAAGATCAGTGTTAAATTTGCAAGAGCCTTTCCTGTCAACTTGATTGTCAATCCATGCATATTTGCTGATTAAGGAATTATGATTTGCTTGATGTTAGCTGGTGCAGTTTAGTTACTGTCCCTTTTCACTTGTTTATTCTTTCGTTAAAATTGGTCATTTTAATGATAAAGTCATATCTTTAATTAACAGTTGTAATTTCTCAATTATGTTAAAAAGATAAGACAGACTTTTGGACTATTGAGGAATAAATCATCGAGAAATACACGATGATGAATAATTTTCCACGGTTTTCGAGAAAGATCATAGCACGTGTCTACAGTGTAAAATTTGCATGAGCCTGTCCTGTCAACTTAGAGTCAAACCATACATAACTGCTGATTAAGGACCTATGTTTTGTTTGATGTTAGCTGGTAGGCAATTTAGTTTCTTTCCCTTTTCACTTGCTTATTCTTTCGATGAATTCGTCATTATAATGATAAAGTCATATATTTAATTAACGGTTGTAATTTTTCACTTACGTAAATAAGATAAGACAGATTTTTGCAATGTTGTAAAAAAAATCAGAGCGGATTTTCTCGGAAACTTGAATGACGAAATAAAGCTAAAATAGTGGATGTCGAAATAATATGTATCGGTACTTTCTGGGAATTATCCATCTATGACATATTTAGCTCCACGTCACAGTTTGGTCGGAATCTCGTGCTAGAAGAGGCGCCTGCATGGAAACGGAAAAATTGTTGATGTGAGCCATAACATGACGCCATATTATTTTGGGAAATCTAGGGAATTTTTCCGGAATTTATTGACCGTAAGGATTCTAGGAATCCAAGAAGTTTCCGTGAAATGTTTCAAGTTAAGAAGATAGTAAGATTCTCATATCGATCTTAAATAACTTAGGCAAATAAAGTACTCATGATCAAGTTTGGATATAGCTGTCAAAATTAAATGACGCAAACAAAACATGTATTGCACGATGGTTTTGTATTTTTGGTTTCGTTTGAGTGATTTTACTCCTGTAATTTGCATCAATCTTGATGATTGAGGGAAAATTCCCGCTTAAGTCTACCATTACTCCGAAAAAACTAGACGCTATCTATTTATTGTGATTACAATACCTATTCATGACACCTTTAAGCTGTTCGGCCGCAGTCATCCTGAATACTCAATTTTCATGTACACGACATTTATTGAAATACAAAAAGTTTAAAAAAACCTCCCGGAGGGGAGAAAATATCCATAGTGCATTAACAATTAACGCAGAAACGATTTTTCAAGTTTCCTTTCGTCAGAATATCTTGCTTCCAAAGTATTCGAAGACAATTTGTCTCAAAGATGGAATAGAAGGATGACTTCAGCTTTGCAGTTGTTCTGGGCAAACCAGATCACGTCTTTAGGGAAGCACTCTAAATTGCTATCATTAAGAGATACGATTTTCACAGACGCTCGAGACCGGTGCTCCTAAATTCTAGGAGTTTCTACAGAGTTGCTTTCTGTTTTCCGAGAAAGCCGATACCACAGCGACTTTGCATAATGATGTATCCCGAAACAATGAGCTGTTATGGAAGGTTGGAGATTCAAGATGAATTTTAATGTCTAATCTTTAGAAAATTACTTCTTGTCTTTGATGCAAATTTAGTTGTTCGTCTTTTTTAGTGACACAGGATCCGAAAATAATGACTGAAGTAAAATATTCAGTTATCAAGTGCAGTATTTGCTGAGACAAAAAAGGCTCTGAGAGATCGTGTTTCACAATAAATTCCTGCGGTTTTTCTCGGAAACTTGACGGAGTAGGAACAAATTATCATGACGACAAATTCTTTGAAACTGCACAGTAATGCAGTAATGACGCACAGGTTGCCTCCAACCTCCCACGGGCTAACGTCAAGCATGATATGACGCAAGGTTTGAAGTGCAAACCAACATCAAACGTTAACTGAGAAACCAGGAAAGATACTTCAAAAGTTAAGGAAAACAGCCATGAAAGTTAAGGATATATAGCATAGGATATATATCAGACGGAAATTAATTTCAGAAACCGTTAATGTATAAATGTATTGCTATGCTGGGCGTTGAGTTTGAATCTGTTCACTCCAGTCTTAGTGTTACTGTTTTGGCAGTTTCGTTTGAACTGCTACACACGAATGGATCATATTCTATAGCGACTTTATTCACAATAAATCGATGTCTTGCGTGAGAGAAAACTCTAAGTTTTTAATATATGCAAGCCTCAAAGGAACGCTTTGAGATTCCTACTTTCTTGACAATATGATTACTAGCCCGGGATTATTTTTTATTTTTGAGTCTTATTTTTGAGTCAAATTTGCATGCACTTGTCAAATTTCATAGTAAGTTTATGGCCTCAATCAATTGATTCGCGACTTCATTGCCGTTATAACTGAATATATTCAGGTTAAGAAGCATTAGACATTCTATCCCGGAAAATTTTTGAATTAAGTTCTGCTTGCAATATCATTCCTTAGCAGCTAACGCTCGTACTGTTCGTAACTGAAATGTCTTACCACTGCTAAGTAAGGTGTGAACAATTTCGATCGTCTTCAATCTTAAAACCTTTCTTATCCAAATATCAACCCGCCCATTTACATTGGAATAAACTGCTAAAGTTTCAAAGAATCCTTCATCGTCGCTTCCGCTTTTCTAGGAAAACGTAATTGAAGGCGGATAATCTGCTCTACGGGAATCGTAAAGGGCTTTTGGTAGGCATACAGTTCTAGCTCATTACTCCACCCAATTATACGCAAGATTAATGTTCGCATTGTTTTTAACTGATTTAACAGTCAGTAACTTAGATTTAAAGCAGTCACGCTGACAAATATCCTCATGATATGGCCCAAGTATTTCATGCAAAACAGCTAATTCGTTAGGCCGTTCATCCTAGGAATGCTGAACGAAGCCCTTTCGCATATAGAAGAAATATTTTGTGAATAGAAGTAGTTACATGATATCTTAAAACTCAATCCAACTTAAACCGACATGATTAAGAATGAATGTGAAACGTACTGAATATAGCAGCATTTAATATTTACCATAGTTTTAAAAGTTATGAGATCTGAAATTAGTATCGAAATGAACTGATATTTTACCCAAATAGAAGCGACTATATCGGACGTTTCACAAGTCACACATCATTGAAATCTTATCTATTCGACTATCATTGTCTTAACTGCATTAATATGTTTGTAGGTCACCTCGTTATTTGCATAAACGTAAACAGTTTATAGCGGAACTCGCAGAGCATAGCTCCATAACACAATATTATACAAAAATAGTAGTAACCCATCAAGCCGAAAAAATTTGGATGTACGACCGTACGACCGCACAAGGTGCTACTTTTAACATGCGTGGTCAACTGTACCGCGGGCGCGCCAATGCCACGGCTTTGTCCAGTAGTCCAGTGGTCAGTGCACTGGGTTCCGAGTCGGACGACCCGGGTTCTAGTCCTGGCCGGGGCAAGGTGTTGTGCCCTTGAGACGTGGAAGGAAAAAAAAATGCGAGCTCCGCTTTTAGGCTTGGCTAAATCTAAATATTACTATACCTCGAATTCTCCAATCGCTCTGACGAAGAGTTAACGCTCGAAATGTCAGCTTAGAAACTCTTTACGGTGGCCAGTTTACGTTATCAACTCAGTTGATAATGCTAAATGACCCTGCTAAAACTTCAGTCGTATTTCAGCTTCTAAACAAAAACCATGTCAGGCGTCTCTATCTGTCAACATCATCTACGCAAGCATGGTCTAGTACGATCACGGCTGAGCTCTGGGTGACGATCAAGGAATTCTCTCATAAGTTCCAGTGGCGATTCCAGACCTTGAGCTGGGGCTCGGCAGCTGCCTACCAAACACACGATTTTGCAGCTCGGACTTTGTTTGCTGTGATAGTTAAGGTAGAAAGTTTGCTGAATGCTTCAACCTGATTTTCACTTTAGACACCAGCACAAGTGGAACGTGATGCGTGCAAGCCGAGAATAGCCAAACTACAAGACAGGACAATTATAAAAAGTTCCTTTTCCTTGAGCTTGATGATCACTGCTAATGACGCGAAACAGGTCTAAGAGAAAACGAAATTTAAGAAAGAAAGTGTTTATTCTTCTAATGTTTACTCAGTTCATTCTTCTAGTGTTAACGCATTAGCTTAGGCTTGTTGATCGCTACGACTTTCTACGCTACGAACAGTCCCAATTCTAGGCTTCTTTATCCATTTGTTACGCTATTAAAAATCATTGTGTAATCTAGAGGTAACGCAAGGCTGCTACCCTACTGCTACCCTACTGCTACCCTACTGCTACCCTACTGCTACCCTACTGCTACCCTACTGCTACCCTACCCAGACTAATCACCTTCCAGAGGGTTTCATAGCTTCATTCTTCTTGGGTACTCTCTTACATAGATGTCAATTATGTCATCTAGATCTGATGTGATGTCTGTGTGGACATGCAAAAGAATCAGTGCGGACAAGCGGTCTGATCCGTGGTGTGGTGCTTCGTTTGTTAGTTTTAGTCTCCTTCAAAGTAGAATGGGCTCTTTCCACAGTTGTTACCGACACTGGATGCAGTTGATAGGCATTTTGCTCTAAAATAACCCCACAAATTGTCGTACCTTTTAAGGCATCAATCCAGTGGCTGAAATACGATAACAATTAGGTGACGTCAGGGGAATGATCAAGCTTGACCCTCATTGAGTAATAATCAA